CCAGATGGTAGGGTATATACATTTTTGCTGTTAAATTCAATTTTGCCATGTGTTTGAAATTTTTGATAATAAAATGAGTGGGCAGTAAATATGACACGAGGAGATTTCACGTTAATACTCCGTTAGGAACAAATCCAAAACATATTCTAATGAGAGAAAATCATTAAATTTCCAGTCTAATATATATTGTTACTATTCATGCTGTATGATTTAGCCTTCGAGGGATGGGGAGTAGATTGGAAAAAATGCTGCATCCTATAAACTATTTAGGAATGATGAAGTGAAGATGACAACAACAGTAATTTCATGCCCAAGGTTTGGTTTTTCTTCCTGTGTTCATTCATTTAACCAGCTTCTCTTTTCTTGGCAGCATAATCCTGAAGTCTATATTCAGAGAAAAGAAAGTGTTCTTAATGTCACTGACTGTATTATGATTGAATGCAAGCAAATATTTGAAGAGATGAATCATTGATTCCTGGACCATTTGTTAGAGAGGATTAGACCAGTTGGCCAGATGTCTCTTGTGGTGAGCTGTTTATGATGGTAGAGGTCTGTTTTGAATACCGACCTCGCTGCTTTAACATTAAACTTACCGAGAGCCCAATTTTTATTTTTTCCCTCTCAGAGCACCTTTAAAAAATATATAAAATGTAAAAATCTAATAAATCATAAATGATACCGAAATGAAGGAATAGTCTTCTTTTTAAAAAAGGAGTCAAAATTAATAATACCACTCTTCAGAGAAATAGATTTGCAAAAGTAATGTTATGCTCTTACAGCAAAATGGCTGTGAACAGTATAATGATTTAAAAAGCATTACCATTAAGGTGGTGAGAAGTTTTTCTACTAAGCAATAGCATCCAGTGGTATCATTATCATTAATTCAGTTGATAATTGCCACATCAATTGTCACAGCCAAAGATGTAATAGTTGTTTATATTTAAATTTTGTGACTAGCTTTTCTTTGATCTCAAAATTGACGACCATCTAATATTAAGTAATCTTCTAAGTTAAGGTGAAGTATATAGGTATTACAGATTTATATAATCTCTAGTCTGACTCATTTCCTCTTCCATTCAGTCTGTCAACCCTTGGATGACATTATCCATAAGCAGGTACCATCTTGGTTCACTGTGATGCTTCATAGGGTGGACATGATGGGAAATATATTCATTGTGTTGCTGTGCACTGTACATAATCACTAGTGGATGTAATTGTATTCTAATGGTTATTTTGACTGACTTCTCCAAAAGACTATGCTCAAAGATAGCCTCGATTCATTTTTCTGGAAAGGGAGATTAACTTTTTTGACCCCAGAAGATTCACCCTTTAGTGTTTCAGTTTGTCCGTTCAGCCAGTAGTAGGTCCTGCCTGCGCTGCCAGGGTCTTTGTTAGGTTGTATATCTATAGCACAGTGATTTCCAGACCTCTCCACCATCAGAATCACCTAGGGAGCTTTTAAGAAAACACTTGCTTGGACCACATCCTAGAACTTCGGATCCTGGCTATTTGGAGTGGAACCAGGAATTTGCATTTTAAGAAGTACCTAAGCGATTCTAATGCCCGTCACCTTGGGATGATTAAGCTACAACCCCTTCCAAGGTTCTTTGTCTAACAGGATAGATAAGTAAAATTTATTTCGGTATAGGGTAGATGAGTTCTGTAAAAGATAAGTTATTTAGCTGTCTTAGTTCTCTTAAGACAGGTCTTACTCCAGAGTCCCCAATTCTCAGATTATTTAGTTACCTCTCATTAACTACATGCTCATAATCATTTTATAATATCTGGCATTTTGGGATCTAGTTTAAATGTTAGGCACTATGCCACATGTTTTACAAGTACTATTTCATTTAACCCTCACAGTACTACTGTGAGGTGTAAGAGCTGTTTACTATCTCCATGTGTTAAAATGTGTCTGTAGTCAGGGTCATTAGAATGCGTAGCTGTAAATACTGCAGGGCTGGGACCTGCGCCCAGTCTGACTGCAAAACCCGTGGCCTGTGCTGTAGGTGGCCTGTGGCATCCTGTACAAGATCTGTAGGCTGAGCGTTACTGTCTTAAAACCATGATCCTTGGAAAGTGGGCCACGTAATGCTTTTTGGAGTGAGATAAAGCAAAGCTATCTAAAGTGTAATTGTTTACCTTCTTTACCCAGTCTTTTGCCTAATGTATTCACAATTTGTTCTCTGATTAAAGTATCCCGAATGACAACTATTTCCAGATGAGCAGCTATACCGTTTTTAGGGCTGAATAAATCTGAAAGATCATACACTTTGTTAATTTAAGTGCCCTGTCTTTGGCTGCAACCCTCAAAAGTGCTCGGTATGCTCGTTTCAGAAATTGTAAAAAAAGATAACAGCTCTAATTTTTCCTTGTATATTTCATAGTCTTTCCTTTGAAACGCCTCACAGCTTCTCCCACCTAATTAACTCTTCTTTACATCGCTTTATAGCTAGTCTTTAAAAAAGAAAATCTTTGGTTTTAAAATATTTGAAAACTTTTTATTTTACTCAGTTTCCTCCTCTGTTAAATTTCTTTTTCTTTTTTTTTTTTTTTTAAAGATTTTTTTTTTTTTTTGGGGATTGGGGGGATGGGAACAGCGCTGGGGAATTGGGGAAAGGGGAACAGACAAGTTGCTGTTGTTTTGTTCTTCAATCTAGTTGTGGAGAATGTTGCTTCACTGGCCCAAGTTGGCACCATCATTGCGCTCTTCTCTGGCGAGGCAGATCAGTCGCCGGCTTCTGGACGGCCGCTCACTGCGGCTGCTGGCCGCTCACGCTGGCTGCTGGCCACACACACGGTAGCCCATGGCAACCCACTGCCACAGGGACTGCAGCCCACGCCGTCGCCGGCGACTCATGGCAGCCCAGCTCCAGGTTGAGCTGTTGTTCAGCATCTTAGCTGTGGAGGGCAGTGTCACTGGCCCTCATATGTGGGATCCGAACCGGGGCCCTCTGGCATCCCAAGCGAGTTCTTAACCATCGCGCCACTCGGCCGGCCCTCTGTTAAATTTCTTTACTGACATCACTTTCTGGGTCATTTAAGGAAAATGACTTGGAAGAAATTGCCCCCTGAGTTCAATTTGGAAATAAGAAGAAAGAAAAAAAAAATCAAACACTTAATTCTCAACTCCAAATTTAGTCAGATTTTTTAAAATACCTGTGTGTACTGGATAGCTTCCATTTCCTTTGAAACTGTACTAGATGGAAATCTACATAGATTAATTATTCTACATTCAGTTTATATAAGCCTTAGTAAAAATTTTGGGGGTAGAATAAAGTTTAAGAATTTGAGATCCAACAAACTTCTTTTTAACCCACTGCCTTCCTCACAAGCATTCCCAACACTATTTCTTGTTAATTTTTCTAAATAGCTTTACAGATGTTGACATTAAACTGTACTTTATAAGATTCCCTACTCCCCTTCAAGGCTTGTTTTCTGGGACTTAATTTCACCTTGACATTCTCAAATCCTTGCTAGTTATTTTTAGTACCTGATTGGTCTCTCTTCCTCAGGTATGTCTTCCCCAATTTAATGTGTCTGGTTGGATGGAATCTACTATTTGCATATCATGCACACTCCCAACTTCTATACCGATTGTGGAAAGGCTCAGAGCTTTAGAGGAGCCAGTGGAATTCCCTTGTGCTCTGATAACATTGATGCCTCAGAGCAGTTGGGGTGAGAGAGCACTTCCCCACGAGATGAAGCATTCCCGGATAGAGTTCCCTTGTACCGAATCCTGGACCACTCCCTTCTATCCCCAAAGAATTATTTGGTTTAGCCACAGATTTTTATAGCAAAGTGGCTAAGAAACACTGATAACCCAGAGTGTGGATTTCTTATACAGCCTTGAATAGGATGAGGTAGTTATATATATTGGGTTAGAAACGTGTATTGGAAAAAAAGCAAATCACAGAACATATTTATGGCATTGTTCTAGTGAAGTTTAAAAAACACAAGGAATGGGCTATAAAGAAAGCCTTTCAGAAGAGAGCAGAAAAGAAGCTTTTACTTTTTTGTAGACGTATGCAGCATTTAGCTCTTAAAATAAATGTATATTTTTTATTTTTAAAAATTAGCAGATAAAATTTTGAAATATAAGACTTCAGGATTTTGAGAAAATGCTCTAGTGGCAAACCTGCCTGAAAACCTTGGTTTCTTTATTTCCTCTCATCTGAATTATCCCAACAGCGCCTTCTCTGTGAACTTCCTATGAGAAGTTCCAGAGCATCGCTCCTTAAATGTTGCTCTTTGGTCTTTCTCAGAAACCAGCATAATTTATAAGACCAATAGAAATTTATACCAGGGACCCTTTAAAAGACTTATTTCTGATTTGTCTCCTGCCCTCTTAAGCATTAATATCTCTTGTTTATCTACCCTCTGAAGGGAATTGTATACCCTGGTCTCTGCTGTAATGAGAATGGTATTACGTCAACTCTTTGCTGGTTTAGAATGTATTCTCTTTTAAAAAGCTATTTCCAGCTGAGTCCTTGCATCATGCTCCTACCTATACTTCAGTCACATCCTTTTAAGTACAACCTCTAAGTTTTGAAAGCAACCTGTTTTGGGGAAACCAAGAACATTTGTGGTTTAATTGGCTCAGCCATTGCTGTGTTGGTGTCTGGCGGGAGATAATGTCTCTTGCCTCTCCTCTCTCCTCCCATCCTATCCCCTCCCCTCCTCTGTCTCTCCCCCTCTCTGTATAGATTAGGTTAGATATATGTAAAGACTTTTTATCCTTCTATTCTTTCTTCAGTTTTCCCCCAATGAGCAGTAAACTAGGTACATGTTTAAAAGAATTTGCTGTACATCTGTCCACAATAATGGAAGTAATTTTTCTCTCCTAATCCCACTGAATTATACATTTTATGTCTATTCCTGAGCCATTTCTCAATAAAGGAGGATTTAATTGTAAATAGACAAATGCTGAGTAGAGACTATATACCCTAGTCTCTATTTCTTATGTGTTCATTTGCGTCCTTATGGGTCCTAATTTCCAGGTCTCAGCATGATATTTTACTTTTTGCTACTCGTCCATGTCAGCCTCCTGCTTCCAGATCTTCACTTCTTCCTAGACCTAATCAGATTTTCTCAGCTTGATGAAGATTTGCTTCTGTCATTAGTTTTTTTTATGACGAACATACTGTGTGGGATGAGAATGTCCATCCACGGATTTTTGGAGGGCAGAGACTGCCTTGTTCTCCCAGAGCCAGCATGGTGCCTGACACAGGTACTTAGTCAGTATTGTCAGACAAAGATAGTTGGAGTATCCTTATTTTTCACTGTGTAGCAAACACCTTGTTTCACTGTGTAGCAAACTGATCATTGTGAAAATTTAACCTTGTGATATACATTTGCCTTTCCCAAAACAGAGTCTTGCTTACATAACAGAAAAACTTTGTAAGTACTTGTATGAGTTCTGTAAATTCTCAGGAGAGCCTCCAATGGGAAATCTGCAGTTTGGATAATTTAAGTGGAATGCTCTATCCTTTTGTTCTTGATATCAAATGGGTACTGTCACATTTACATTTATATCATAACTTTTTTTAACAACAAACATCTGTATTTAGATATTTTATTTGAAACATTAAATTTTCTCACACATGTAAATTAAGAAAGGAGACAATCCATTTTTTTATCCACAAAAAGAGCCCTTGAAACAACTGCACATATTCTTCTAATGTATTTCTGTATAGACAGAACCACACATACTTTTTTTTAAGAAATCAATGGTTTACAAGCATATGGCTTAGCAATCAACTTTATAATATATAAAGGAATTATTGATTGCTAATTCTCTTATGCAGAGATCTTTCTTTGCCATAAACTTACAAAAATAACCTGAGATGATTCTTCATAATGTCTATAAAATATCTATAAAGTCAAAGTAGGGACGTTTGAGTAATTGAGTGGCCAAGACTCTGATTCATTTTCTTTTTCTCTTTTTCTTTTAGAACTGCTACTGGATGACCAGGATTCCCTGTAATTGATAATGGTGGAGATCATCTCAGCAACTTTTTTCAGCATTCAGTTGTTAAAAACAAATAGGATGCAAGCTCCCGAACTCCACATTATGAAAACAGTACTTGGAAAACAGAAAACTATCTAAATGATTGTCTTTGGTTGGGCCGTGTTCTTAGCAAGCAGAAGCCTTGGCCAGGGTCTGCTGTTGACTCTTGAGGAGCACATAGCCCACTTCCAGGGCACCAGAGGTGCCACTGCTGCCATGGGGAATTCCTGTATCTGCCGAGATGACCGTGGAGCAGAAGACAGTGTGGACACCCAGCAGCAACAGACCGAGAACAGTGCAGTACCCACAGCGGACATGAGGAGCCAACCCCGGGACCCTGTTCGGCCCCCGAGGAGGGGCCGAGGACCACATGAGCCAAGGAGAAAAAAACAAAATGTAGATGGGCTAGTGCTGGACACACTGGCAGTCATACGGACTCTTGTAGATAAGTAAGTATTTGACTCACAGTCACCTCCTATGTACTGAAAAGTGTTCTGCCAGAAACTGTAACTGTTGGATTCCTTCAGTTCGTAGGATTTATTCGCCAAGCCTTTTGCTCATAGGGTAAGGGAGAATATTTTATTTCTTCTCTGACGGCAGAGTAAATGATAAGGTTTGATGTTTTTACTTGCTAACATCTGCTCCTGTCTGGAAATGTCTAAACATTTCCAAGGCAGAAAATACTAATTACATCCATGGCCTTTATTAGGGACTGCAAAGACCAGTGAGTGAGTTTGTGTTGCAGACTACAATAGAAAATGTTTTCACGAAGAGTCACTCTTAAATTGCTTGCCTACGTACTCCACTGACCAGAGATTCAAGATGAGTTGTTGTACCAAGAGCACGGCTGCAAGCAACTGCTGTTGGCAACATGAGAACATAGGAGGAGGAGAGTTTTCATCCTCCTCTCTGTTTTATCTCGCATATTTGGCCCTCTTAGATCCATTTGGGAAACTTGTAAATTGAAACTGCAGGACACACCTGTACCTGTTTTATTTTTCCCCCTGCTGTGTTTAACTTTTAAATACAAAACCCCAGATTGAATAACAGTGAAATTAAAGGGCATTGTTCAAACTGAAAAACTATTTTAACCGTATAATTCAGTAGTTAGGAACAAAAGTTTTAGAACCATGATGAGCCAGGGTTCAAATTCTGGCCCAGCCCCATAACTAGCTACATGATACTGGGTAAGTTACTTCTCTAAGCCTCAGATTCCTCATTTATGAAAGGGAAATGATACCTTTCTTATAGAGATTATCATATTATATATATAAAGCACCTAGTATAATGCTTTGCATATAGCAATTGCTCAATAGATTATAATATTTTTTTATAAGTTATATCTGTTTTGCTTCGAGATCTGCTAGTAAATTTAAGTATCTAAAAATTTGATAATTGTATTTATACAAACCCAGTTTTGTTTAGATCCTCAAAAATCATAGCATAAAGCAATGTATACCTGTGCATATTATTCTGAAATGACTTTTTTTCCCTCATAGAAATAAATTTGTTTTGCACATCTTTCTGTCTGCTGTAGAACATGTTGGGGAAAAGTGGTTCTTACAAATATTCTCCATAACCAGTTCAGAAACGTTTTCCTAAGTTTATTAAAACCAGCATTTGAAGTAGTTCCGGTATCTGAATTAATGTAATTTTCACATGTTTGTAGGAAATACCTATTGAATATAAATTTTTGCCATTTACATCCCCTAAACTCACGCAGGGGGTAGAGCTGTTATATAAAACTTCTTTATAATGACATTTAAAACATACTGCAAAATTGTAATGAGCAGTTGTCCTTCCCAAATAAGGAAGTACACCACAAACAATGTTATTTAACCCTATTGGAAAAACAGGTACCGAATAGACTTTGCCATATTTTTTAAAAGTGATTCAGAGAGTGTGGGAACAAGGTAGGTGCTTTATTTTCAAGCTTCAGGAAAATACTACAGATCATAAGTGAACTTGTTGATAAAGCACATAATTCATTTACGTGAGGCAAGTGGTGTATATTTGAATACTGGGATCACTTTTACCTTAAATCTGTTTGTACTGAATGACAGTTATAAGTCTTCTGAGAATGGAAAAATAAATCAGGTGTAAAGCAAATGTGAAGAATGGAGAATATAATGGCAACACAGCATTCAGACAGTTTATAAACGTCGTTACATAGCTTATTTTTTAGGAACTACTAACGGAGAAAAATTTCATAACCTGTAAAATTTATAAGGCTGTTAAAACGAAACATGAAAGATAGACAGACGGGCTTAGTAAGAATATACCTAAAAGGATGTATGCAGTTATAAGATGATCTGTATTTATTGTTCTCTTCTCTCTACTTGTTACTTAGGAAAGGATGACGTTGATCTGACAGGAGAGCACAGTTTCTAATGTCATAATGAGAGTTGCTATAGGAAATACACTAATTTTAAAATCCTTTTGAAGTTCTATTATTGTAAATTTTGGGTAGTGACTTTATCCTCAAATTGTGAATGGTATTAATGTTAATTACTTTCATGAGTTTTGGAACTTTAATTTGCAGAGGAGAGTGAAGGAAATTTTTTCCCTCGTGTGTGTGTGTGTGTGTGTGTGTGTGTGTGTGTGTGTGTTCATGTTCGTGTTCTCTCTGTCATTCATATTTTTCTCTCTTCCTATTTGACCTGTCACTGTCACTTTTTTTGTTGTCTCCATCTGGGTCCCAGGGACTTTCATTCTATGACTGAACCTAGAATTGATGATTGTGAGTTCCCATCCCACTGTAAGAAGCCCAGGTCCTGCATGGCTTTCTCTGCCTATTTCTGTCACTAGAGACACAGCTTTATACATAACAGCTGTAGCTCGGATTATCATTCAGCTCCTTTTGCAGAGAAGGGAACCCTGTCCAGGCTTCTCCAGCCTTTGGTCCCAGTTACCTACCTGGCAGGCATAGAGCTCCTGGTCACCTCTGTCTAGTTCCTGACCCAGAGCCCGGTAGTCCTATGGCTTTAGCTCTTGCCTCCCACCAGAAATCTCTACTGCATTTCTGTTTTTTCAGTGTAGGGATATGTTTGTTCTTTAAGTTCATCTGTGTAGAATTGAGGTGCTTATATTCCTTATTGGTTGCTGACCCCGTCATACTTCTATTATTTTTCCTTTCTTCCCTAATTCCATTATCCCCTTTACCACCCACCTCCAAATATCAGTGGGTAAACCATTCTAGTAAATTTATGTTCTTCCAATCTGTCTGCCATATGTTTGTTTGTGTCTGTATAGCAAGTTTATATATAGTGTTTTTTTGTGATATTTTAAAAATTTACAGAACTGACATAGCTATATAAACCTCATTGTTTTTAACTTCTCTCAACGTTATGTTTGAGACCTATATTGACGTTATGTTTGAGACCTACCTATATTGCTATATATAAAACTACAACTGCTTCTGACTGCTACACAATATTCGTTTATATGCTTGAAGGCACCATTTTGTGTTATCCTATAATCTGCTGATGATCACTTAGGTGACTTCCAAATGTTTGTTCCTACAAATAACACTGCAGCAAATAGCCTCATGTGCATCTATTCCATGTCATAGTTTCTCTAGCATTGTTGAGTATATGCATACATCATTTCCTTGTTGCCAGATTGCTCTCCAGAAATGTTTGTATCTGTCTGTTAAAGCATTTAAGACAATTCTTTTAAATAAGAATTTTCCCTATTTTGAAAGAACACAGGAGATGAATAACCAGTACCTAATGAATACCTGAAATGAATTTAGCAATTCCCATATCACAAGGTTATTCTGAGGATTAAATGATTGAAGAAAATAGTTTTTATGGGGTTTTTTTCACAGTAAAAAGAGAGCCACAATGTGTATGTAAACAGTAAGCGGGGAATATATCTCTTAAGTAATTAGATTTAGCATTGTTTGGTGGAAAGTATTTTATTAATTACTGAAGTTTTCCTAAAGCACCTAGGATTCCTGGGATCACAGTTTGAAAAACCTACTGAATTAAGATATATCATGCCCTTTTATAGAGCAGTGTCTAGAATATTAAATAGCTCCTTGATTAAGTTTGGTTTCTTTTTCTTCTCATACCATTTTTTGAAGTTTAAGTATAAAGTGATATTTTCCAGAAGAACATTTAAAAATGAAGATCTTTATGTAGGCCCTTGTTTCTCTGTAAGTCCTCAGTGGGGATTGTTATCTCCCTCCCTGGCATTCCTTTGCGGTAAGTATGAGGAAGATGATGTTGACTTCCCTGACTTGTCTCAAATGGCATTGGGCCTCTCGTGGTAAAGCTGAAAGGAGGCTCAGATCTCTAGTTTTAGTCCTGTGCTTTTACCTTATGCCACATGGCGGTCCTTTCCTGTGCCGTTCTGCCCATTTTACTGGGTTGTCGGAAAAGTAATGACATATTTTTTCTGTTTTTCATTGGCAAAAATGCATCATGACTTTTCCAACAACCCAATATTTGTGGGCCATCATAGACAATGACCTTGGAAATGAGCACATGTGGTGTGCATTTGTCCTTACAGATTACAGCTCTGGCTGTCTCTTCCATCTCTTTCTCTGCATTCATCTGTGTTCGTTTCTTATTTCTCTTTCTATCCCCATAAGTTCAGTGTGAACTTTTATTTGAAATTGTCATTTCCTATTCAAGTTTGATGTCTTAAATGTTTGTTTTTCAGTGATCAGGAACCTCCCTATTCAATGATTACATTGCACGAAATGGCAGAAACAGGTATTTTTAAAGTTTTTTTTTAACTACTTCCTAATGAATTAATGATTATGAAGAAATGTGGCCAGTTTTTAAAAAAATAAAAGTAAAAGTTTCCAAAAGTACTAAACACACAAGACAAAAAAAGTCCCTTAGTGTATGGAAATTTTTCTATACAAGGGTAATTAATAATTAAGCACTGTATATTGCATCCTGAATTTGTAGTTGCACCTCTCAGTAGTAGTTTTATCTCACTGAAATTATTATAAGACATTTTTTGGCATTGACAGATCTTTGACAATAGCTCTTCTAGAATGGGAAAGATAATTTTTTGTCCCTCAATTTCCTAAGTGTCATTTTAAAAGTAGAGCTAACTGCTTCAGATATATAATCTCCTCAGCTAACTCCTATGCCATAAATAAAATGCTGAAAACTATTTTAATCATGTTTTGAGAACACAGGACCCTGGCTTGAATTTTGTCCAAATAAATATGCCCAGAAGTCACCAGATTCCTGTAAGTTAGGATTCCTTGCCTCTGCCATGATGACTAGCAGTTGAGTGTGTCCATGCCAAATATTAGCTACTTAAAAGCTACAGGATGAAGGCCCAAACTGCTTAATGTAAAGTCATCTTGTCTTATAAGTTATGTATTTTCACATTTTTTAAATAGTAGCTCCATCGTATAATCTTCTTGATTTGCCCTTAGATGAAGGATGGTTGGACGTTGTCCAGTCTTTAATTAGAGTAATTCCATTGGAAGATCCTTTGGGACCAGCTGTTATAACATTGTTACTAGATGAATGTCCATTGCCCACTAAGGTAAGTTAATACTTATCATTTATGAAACTGCCATCTATGCTTAGACACAGGATGAATGACCACAAAGAACATTTGCTATAATGCATTTCTTCTTCATACATTTGGAGTTTTTTATTCAATATTAATTTCATTATATAAACTTGTTTTTTATTACTAATGAAGTGCTACATCCTCCTATCAATAATTTCCTATAAAGCTTTAGTTTAAAATTTTAAAATGTTAAAAATTGAAGTATTTATATCTGAAATGTAATCTTTGTTTGGAAACTAGAAGAGCATGTTCAGTTGCTTGAGTGGATTTTCTTACGTTTCTCTAAACGATTTCCTCGTAACATAACATTTTAAAATATTTTCTATTAAGAGAAAAAACTATTATACTGAAAGCACTTGTGAGTCTTACTCAAACATTAAAGATTAGTATAACCTTGATTATCCCTTACATAGAACAAAAGTATCAACCTTTTCATTGCTTTATGGAACATTGTTTCATGTGCTATGGAATCTGTTTTGTAAAATTTTGGATTCTGGCATCTTTCATTGGTTTAAGCCTCAGACAGTTAGGCCCAACATGGAAAAACATGGACAGAAGGGAACAAGTCTTTGGCCTAGCCACTGATGAATTGACCTTTGCCTAGGCTTCTAAGAGGTTTCTGTTATAATTTGCCTTAAAACTCTGGTGATATTTGTTCTTGCTTGGTAAAAACATTTTTTAAAAGTAACTTTTTACTTCAACATCACTAGGCCCTATTGTTATAAATTATAGTAGCATTTGGGTAGATTTAGTCTACCCAAATGATTAATGATTTAATGATTCAAGAGTGTATAGCACATGTTTGACACAACTGGTGCATTTTGAATGAAATGGAATCTAGTAATTCATGTAAGAAAACTTTCAGGTTGATCAAATAATAGTTCCCATCAATAATGGTGTTATTGGGTACATTATATCATTTTTGTATGGTTATTTTGATTTAATTTAACACCTGATTATATCTTTTGTCTAAAAGAATTACCTTGGGGAAAAACCTGTGTTTTTATCAAATCCACTTGTTCATTTTTGTTTTTAGGATGCACTCCAGAAATTAACTGAAATTCTCAATTTAAATGGAGAAGTAGCTTGCCAGGACTCAGGTCACCCTGCCAAACACAGGAACACATCTGCTGTCCTAGGCTGCTTGGCCGAGAAACTAGCAGGTAACTTGGAAGCTCCACCAAGGAAGACCTTAAGTTGTTTGACATTAAGGGAAGGTTGCACTGCAGGCCTTTGACCTGCTGTACCAGAGAAGTGTCTCAAAAAAAGGGGGACAGGAATAACTGGGGAATAATTACTTAGAGGCCAAAGCTAAATCTAATTTAGCTTTGGGGATTTTTAGAGGGAAATTTAAAAGAAAAAGTTTTACTGATTTGCTTTAAAATTAAGAACAGGAGAAAAGGCTAAACTCAGTATAACAAATAAAGGTTATATATGTATATATACAATACACAAATACACACACACTTTATAAAATTTAGCTAGGTAATGGAGATACACAAGATAAGGGAAGAGGAAAAGAAACTTTAAATTGGAGCAATTCCTGAGAAGAGAAGCAGACATTTAACTTGTTTATGACTATTTTAGGAAAGCTAACGTTAAAGTGTAGGTGTATAGCTCAGCTAGTTATATGATGTATGGTAGAAGAAACAATGGATTAGAAATCAGAACACGTGGGTGCTGGTTCCAACTCCGCCATGTGCTCCCCAAGTGCCCTGGAGTAAGTCACTTCACTTGGAGGCTCAGTTACTCAACTGCAGAATGGGGATAGTACTATTCCGTGCCTCAGAGCGGGAGGCTTGAATAAGATGATATGTGGGAGAGTAGTTTGTAAAAGAGTTCTACCAAAATAATTTTAGTAGTTACTGATTAAAAATAATATGGCATATTTAATTATATCCAGTGTTTGTTGTATTCTCTAGGTCCTGCAAGCATAGGTTTACTTAGCCCAGGAATACTGGAATATTTGCTACAGTGTCTGGTAAGTGAGACATCAGAGCTAGTTATTTTTAGTCATCTAGAATTGTGCATATTTCTTAGATTGCCAGCTTAGTCACTGGCATGGAGAATGGAATCAGTTCTAAGTTTTATTTGCAGGTGTTTCCTGAGTGTTTATTCCCTCCTGTGTTATAAAAAAAAAAAAAAATGAGGGTGGGATAGGAATTTATTACAAGCAAAAACAGCTGAGTTGGTTTGGTTTTAAATTTAGTTATAAGAGAGCAGCTATGATTGGCTTTTGTGTGTGTGTCCTTAGAGTCTGCCAAATGGTAGTAGGGACCTCCCCAGTGTAAACAAAATTACATGGCATTCCAAGCCAGGAAACCATCAGGTCAGATTCCCATTGTTTATAAATCTCTACTCCTTCCCTCCCCTTCACTACTGCTCTTAAAGCTGTTGTTGAGGATTTGATGTATTGTCTGCAAAGCTTGTGGTTTGCTGCAGCTGTGCTGTCAGATCTCTCACACTGCTAGACTGCAGTCTTGACTGATCTGTGTTTTTAAAAGTTGTTTTTGCAGGCCTAGTGAGCATTGGCCTATTTCAAAATCTGAAAGACCTTTTTTTTCAGTGCCAGTATGAGATGTACTTAAAACACTTAATACTATGTTAAGAAGCACTCTGGGGATACAGAAGTAATATAGCATTCCTTTGACCTCAAGAAGTTTCCTGGTTGGTTGAGGGAATAAAACTACTCAGATAAGACAATAGCCTCCATTTTATGACAAGATGCAATCAAAGGCAAAATTACTTCTTTCCCACTAAGTGCCATGAGAGTTCTGAGAAGGCGATTGGGAGGTGGGAGATATGGGTGGTGAGAGATGCGACATTCTCAGGAGACCGACTTCTGGTGAAGGTGGGACCTCAGCTGGGTCACACCATACAGTTAGGATTTGATTGCGCACAGGGGAGGAAGAATGAGTTTTTCGGTTAAGGGCACATGACCAGCAGAACCTCAGAGGCAGACATGACTGTATTCCTGGCATATTACAGAGAGTTGTCTGGTCAGAAGATAGTGAACAGAGATAGGAAGATATAGATTGAGTAGCCAGGAAGGGAGGGCTTACGACCTGAAAAGCCAGACAGTGGGATTGAGAATGGACATGGTAGGAAGCAGGGTGCTGAACAGGCTTGGCAGCAGGGGAGCATGAAGGTTATAGGAGCTCTGCAGAACCTACTTGGGCACCAGGGAAGTGAGTGGAATCACGTGATGTTCTAGAGCTCCTTTGCAGGCTCTTAACATAGCTATGTGAAAGGATGGCTGTGAGATGTGATGTTAAGCCAGTAGACTTTTCTTTAAATATAAAACATGTGGCATGAACTTAAATATAACTGAAAGAGCTCACTTGTTGCTCTCTCCCACCTACCGTCAGCATTTGTGGAATTCCTTTCAGAGAACAGATTGAAAACTAAGCCATTAGTTGTTAACTTCATTATTATTTTGGAACATGACAGTGCTGAATTGTTCCTTTTAGGGTTGTGAATAAAAAGTCACTTTTTGCCACAATTCTAGGTTTCTGTTTGGCTTAACCGAATGTAAGAATCAGCTTTATTATATTTAACAAAGCCCTAATATAAATGTTACTAAGTAAAACAATAGTGCATTAACAAGATACTTTTGAAATTTCCACACCTATAAGTGAACCCAGTAACCTCAAGAAAATAACAAAAGATTTGAAGAGATTCTATCTTGTTTCTTCATTACTAACAATATTACCGAATGGATATTCAAGGACTTGAATGCATACAACTTTTCTGATTGCTCCAGCAAAAACTTGCCACATACTGGGTAAGACGAGGAAATTGATAACTTGCCGCCTCTGCAGGGAAATGATGCTTTTGTTTTTTGTTTTTTATCTTTTGTTGTCTTTCAGAAGTTACAGTCCCACCCCACAGTCATGCTTTTTGCACTTATCGCACTGGAAAAGTTTGCACAGACAAGTAGGTATAGTGACTTCTTGCGCTAATGATCTTATGTATCGGTTGTTAACAATCTTCCCTTTTCTTAGTTACTGGATGAGTCTATGCTTTGGACCCCATCAAACATGCATACATTCTGTGTTTGTCTGTGTAGACACCTCAAGGCCAATGAGATGTAACAGGGACAAAGGCAAGAGCTTTCTCACCTAAGAATCAAAACTTGGTGACTGTGTTTTTAGTGATGAGGTTGCTACTTTCTAGAAATTATTAGGATGGGCTATGTCATTACTCTAGTTCCAAGTTCTCTGATTACCTCTCCTCACTCATTTCCCCACCACTAATTTGCCCAGCAAATCATCTTACTCTTCCATGGTTAATTCAAGGTTTATGTCTTTCCAAACAGGTGAAAATAAATTGACTATCTCTGAATCCAGTATTAGTGACCGGCTTGTCACATTGGAGTCCTGGGCTGATGATCCTGATTATCTGAAACGACAAGTTGGTTTCTGTGCCCAGTGGAGCTTAGACAATCTCTGTGAGTAGGAGCTGCCCTTTATTAAATGCCTGTTTCCATTCCCAAACCCATTTCTTATGTAGGTTCACTGCTCTTCAGTTTTTTGTTTGTTTGTTTGTTTGTTTGTTTGTTTGTTTAAATTAAAGTTTATTGGGGTGACAATTGTTAGCAAAGTTACATAGATTTCAGATGTACAATTCTATATACAGCATCTCTATATCACATTGTGTGTTCACTAGTCTTCCGTTTGTAATAGTGTGTGTGAGTCTTTCCTTACAAGGTCTTCTACTGGTAGGTTGGCTGTATTCTAGCAGAAAAGCATTGTAGGGATCCTTCCAATGAACTATATGGAATGCTTCTAATTCCAGCACTCTCTTATTCAAAAGCTTTTACTGGTTTCTTGCTTCCTGCTGCATCAAGGCTGTTAATCAGATGGCACTGTCTAATCAACTCTTCCCCACGCAAACTGTGTCCTCACTGTCCTACAAGCAGGTCCCAACCACTCCTACCTCTGGGCCTGGGCCCCTCATTTGGAATTCCCTCTCTCTACTCTTCTCCCTGTTCCAGCTTAGCGCTTCAAAACCCAAGTCACGTCTTGCCTACACAATGAGGGTTGCTCCTGACTTTTCTCTTTTTCTCCTCCAAGGACTGCTAGAACTAAAACTATACCACTATATCCTCACTCCCCATCCACAGTTAGCACTGTGCTAAAGCACAGTTGGATGTGTAACCCCCTGCTCCTGCTGCAGCTGGGGAGTGCTTAGTGTACAGCCTGTGTAGTGCCAGGGAAAGAGTCATTCTGAAAAAGTACAATTCAGATTTGTTGCATGCAAAATACAGGCAGACCTCTTTCCTTTTTTTTTTTTTTACATATTGAAAGTAGACCCTCTACCAGCCAAAGATTATGACTCAGTGAAGACTGACAATGATTAGCATTTTTTAGCAATAAAGTATTTTTTAATTAAGGTTGTACATTGTTTTTTTATTTTTTTGTACATTGTTTTTTAGACACAATACTATTGTCCACTTAAGAGACTACAGCATAGTGTAAACATAATTTTTAAATACACTGGAAAACCCAAAAAAAATCACGTGACTCACTTCATTGAAGTATGTATTGGCTTTATTGCGGTGATCGGCAACCAAACCCGCAGTATCTCTGAGGGGTGCCTGTAATGAATACAGGGAACGAAAGCATAAACATAGCAGTGCTGCCTGGCCTCGCATTTGTTTGATTAATCTTCATGTGGTAGTGGAGCAGAAAGCCAGGGTTGGACATCCACCAGTTCTGCCATGTATGAGCCCCTCTGCTTCTTGATGAGAACGGCAGCTCGCCATCATACTAGCTTTTTTTCCACAACAGCCTGCCTGAGAAACATGACCACTTTTTCTCTTGCAGTTTTAAAAGAAGGCAGGCAGCTGACCTATGAGAAAGTGGACTTGAATAGCATTAGGGCCATGCTGAACAGCAATGATGTCAGCGAGTACCTGAAGATCTCGCCTCATGGCTTGGAGGTAAAGCTTCTGCAGATGGACCATTCCGGGGGAAACTCTTGTTCTCATTTTCATGCCCTGCTTCTGAACAAAAGCAATTTCTTACAGAGTCAGTGGAAGTTTATTACATTTTCAAAGCGCAGTTAGAGGTGGGAGAGAGGGCGTTCAGGATATTATCTACCCCTTTACATCCCACATAATGCTGTACATAAAGAAAGCACTATAATATTTATTAACTGTTTGGTTTAAATATGTCTGTTTTTAATCTCTGCCATTTTATTCAGCTAAAGGTAAAAAGACTAGTGTTTCTAAAAGCAGCCCTTCCTTTTTTTAATCCCCTCATAGCCAACTGTATTCAGTCTAGTGCTCTCCCTTCTCCCTGTATGTTGGAAATGCTGCTGGTTTTGTGGTGCAGGTTGATGAGAGAGCTGCTTATATACAAGAAGGTACCATAAGGCACCAGACATGTCAAGATCAAAGAGCTGTTTGAAGAATGGCTGCAGACAGCTCTTTGATCTTACATTGCCAAATGCTTCATGTAGTTTTCTGCTTTCAATTATTTTTACGTACTGCATCTTATACCCTTTAATATCCTTCTCTCCCTCCACCATAACAAGTACAGGTTAAGGCAATGTTTATGCATTTGTAAAAGATTGTACTATGAGAGCAAAGCTCTGTAAATAGGTATTTAAAAGTGAAGCCAGTAGCCTTCACTAATTTTTACTGCAGCCATCTTTGAAGTCTTCCAATCCTGTTAGAACTCCCTGGAAATAAAGCTATAAAATGGAATGTACTTCATTAAGTGTTGTACTTTTTGTTACTGAGGGTGCACAGAGAAGGAAACAGTAGTCTACTAGAAGCTTTTCACAAGGAAAAATACAGTGAACCTTCTGGGCAGTCAGCAATCCTTGGTGGTCTTCAGGCATTAATGGTGGACTGCCACGCTCTTTGGTTTTGCCAGGCTCGCTGTGATGCCTCCTCTTTTGAAAGTGTGCGTTGCACCTTTTGTGTGGATGCTGGGGTGTGGTACTACGAAGTAACAGTGGTCACTTCTGGCGTCATGCAGATCGGCTGGGCCACACGAGACAGCAAATTTCTCAATCATGTGAGTACCCTGGAGAACTGTGCCAGTGGGGGCAACAGCAGTTTTTTGGTGAGTGGGTGGAGGATATTTGCATATTTTTCAGATAGGTTTGCACAATAACCAGTTCTTGGGCTGAATCACATGGGTGCCAAATCTCTAACAGTGGCTTGCTAAACTGATTCAGAAATAGGAAAACACAAGTCAACTTAATTGCCCCTCAGCTTTTTTTCCCTCAGGTTTGAAGTTCACGTTAATTTTCCACCTAGAGGTTGGATTTGTCCTTTTGTTATTGTAGGTTCTGCTCTGGCCCCACCCACATCTTTGGCTCAGTTTTTATATTGGGACCAGTGATAAATTTCACTTTGCACTTAAGCTTTAAGAATGTTGTAGGAAATTTTATTCCCTTCATTAAATATGAAATGTTGGCTTGACTTGTCTTACTTGACTTTTATCTTGTAATTAGTAGGCACTTTTGTTTTCAATATCTAGTATTTATCTTTTGTTATAGAAAGAGGTAATATAGAAGGGAGGATAAAGCCATTAGAGGAAGCAGGATTGGGCTACCACTACCCAAGTGGGAGAGGCTGGAGTTCCCCCCTTTCCTACAAATGTTGATTTCTTGTCATTTTATACCCAAATGCCCAACCCAGTAGGCTTTCTCCTGTTAATCAAATTATAAGCTGTTTGGAATTAATCCAGCTTTGCAGGACTATTTTGTGGACATATGATTTATTTTTACCCTTTAAGCTGGGAAAAACCCCTTGGATTATTTTGTTAACCTAAATAAGTCTCCCATCCCGTGTGTAAGGTCCTGGGATGGGTTTTAGAAGGGATCCAGCAAAATCAAACTAAACTTGCCTGCCATAAGCATAGTTTCTAAAGAGCCCTTCCAGAAAGGCTATACAGCATCCCAGAATTGTTCATGGCATTTGACTAAACTCCTTGCTGAAGAGAGAAATTGCAGGAAGAGGGCCAGTGGAGAGGACAGGTCTGGATTCTTGTCCATGGTGGAGAACTAGACCCCAGTCTGCCGTTGGATTTTGTTGGGAACCTTCCCTAAAATAGAACCTCCTAGTCAACCAAGTCTCAATTAAAACCTGGAATTGGGGGGGTTTTGTGGCACTATGTAGTCAGAAGTAAGCAGGTCTGGAGAACAATGCCAGTTAGTCTCTTAGTGCCCAACATGGGCCCTGATTTAAAGCAGGTAGTATCAGTTACACTGCCAGCCTGCCCCAAATGATGTCCTTAAGATGATTTTTTAGGACTTAAAAAAAATATATCAATTTCCAGAGCATCTTCATTTTAGAGTATGTCATCTGATTCTCACAACAATTTTTACTTTCACAGTTTCCATTTCACAAATGAGAAAACTGAGACAGAGTATGACATTAACTAGGACGAGAATCCAGTCCCCTTCTTATCCTAGTTGTTTTCTTTGCATTTGAAAATGGGGAGAATCTCAAAGAATTAGCTAATTTTCTCATTGCAGAAAAATTATTTCAAAGAAGAAATGCAGATTCCTCTAGGGAGGAAGCTTTAGTATAAAATTCGTCTCTCCTCGTTGGGCAGCAAACACACCATAAATCTAGGTGTAGTGTATCTGAGAATGAATATTGCAAGTATTTTTTTAAATGACCAGTGAAGCTAGATTATGTTATCAGTGTATGAAGCCCATTTCTGCCATGTAGTTGCAGAAACTTTGGCTCTTTAAATTAAGAGCCTTAAAATGCTGTTTTCCTACCCTTCAACTTGCTTGATAGACTGTTAACTTCTTTCTTTAAAAAACAAAAACAAAATATTTTTCTCTGATCCAAGTATTGGTCGATTCCCTGTTAGAAATTGATAAAGTTGATAGATCTTTTCCCAAATGTAGGATTTTAATGTTGTTGTCATACTTACAACTTTGCTTCAAATGGGCATTGTTCTGGTGATTGAGAATCTTTTTGCCTGTACAGACAAGTGTGCTTTTCTGGAATGAGTCATTCCTAGGATACACCCCAGTTTCTGAAGTTTGAAGTCTGTCCATAATGCTGCTTATTTTAACTCTTACAGCTTGGGACTCAGTTTTGAAAGGTTGACCAAAGTGTTGGGCTCAGAGATAGATCATTAAAATGAGAAGCTTGAGGATAGTTCTTGATCAGGTCACATACAGAACAGTTTGTTTTGTTGTGTTGTATATTTTTTTATGTGGGGTTGAGAGTAACGAGTCTCTATGGGTGCATCTTGACTTATTTAAAATGTCTCTTGGGCTGGCCAAGTGGCTCAATTGGTTAAGAGCTCGCTCAAGAGTTTGAGCTCTGAGCAACAGCGGTTCGATTCCCGGGCCAAGCTGAGCTTCTGCTGAGCTGCCAACAGGTGGCAAGATGGCTCAGCTAAAAAAATAAAAATAAAAAATAAAAAAGTCTCTTGCCTTTTCATGAGCATTTACCATACGGCAGATCTTTCCATTACTTATCTGAAATCTTTTTGAGAGTTTGGGAAGGTATTATTCTCCCATTTAAAGATGAGGAGAATGAGGTTCAGAGAAATTAATTAGAAACTTGCCCAAAATCACTTACCCTCTGAGTGCTAGAGAAGTGAGCCCATGCTCCTTTGCCTGTTGAAGCCTCTTGGCTTGGAGAAAATTACTGTTATCTTAAATAGAAGAGGAATGAATGGGAAGCCTATTGGGGCCTCGCAGACGATTAAGGGGTTTGAGAACTAAACAGGCTCCAAGGCAACATACAAGGCTAAGAGACAGGAATTACAGGGCTAGCCAAGTGGTGCGCTGGTTAAGAGTTGGCTTGGGGGGCCGGCAGAGTGGCACGTTGGTTAAGAGCTGGCTTGGGACGCCAGAGGGCCCCGGTTCAGATCCCACATATGAGGGCCAGTGACACTGCCCTCTACAGCTAAGATGCTGAACAACAGCTCAACCTGGAACTGGGCTGCCGTGAGTCGCCGGCGATGGCGTAGGCTGCAGCCCCTGCTGCAGTGGGTTGCCATGGGCTACCGTGTGTAGCCAGTAGCCAGCATGAGTGGCCAGCAGCCGCAGTGAGCGGCTGTCCAGAAGCCGGCGACTGATCTGCCTCGCCCGGGAAGAGCGCAATGATGGTGCCAACTTGGGCCAGTGAAGCAACGTCCTCCACAACTAGACTGAAGAACAAAAAGGACAGCAACTTGTCTGTTCCCCCACCCCAATTCCCCAGCGCTGTTCCTATCCCCCAATTCCCCAATAAAATCTTTAAAAAAAAAAAAAAAGAGTTGGCTTCGGATGTCAGCTCTGAGCATCAGGACCCCGGTTCAGATCCCACATGAGGGCCAGTAACGCTGCACCCTCTATAGCTAAGATGGTGAATAACAGCTCGACCTGGAGCTGGGCTGCCGTGAGTCGCTGGCAACGGAGTAGGCTGTAGTGGGGCTGGCAGGCAGCTGGCGTGAGCTTTTGTGAGCTGCCGTGAACAGCTGTCTAGTGGCTGGCAAGCAACTGCCTCACCTGGGAAAAGCACAATGGTAATAACCAACATGGGCCAGTGAAGCGACATCCTCCATAACTAGACAGAAGAACAAAAGGACAGCAACTTGTCTGTTCCCCTCCCCCAATTCCCCAATAAAATCTTTAAAAAAAAAAACAGAGACAGGAATTACAACAGCCAGTGTTTTAAGGGCCAGGATGCCCACATTTTGCAACAAATCAATTCTAACCACCCCCCACATGAGGTCATTCACACCACACCAGATGTCTGATGGGAGAATGCACTTGGCCAAGCCTAGGTCACATCTTATCCCTCTACCTCCAGAGCAGGAGGCAGGACACTGTATCTTCATTACATTCTCCATAACAGGAAGGGGTTGGGATGCTGGACAGCAGAAAAAAGGATGGTGTCCATCATGCATGGAAGGATTCAGAATATTTCCCGAATGACAAGCTATGGATAAACTTTCCTTTGTTTGTTTTAGTAATGTTTCCATTACTAAAATATACGTGACCAGAAGCAGGCAGAACAAAATTATCACCCCAAGTACCAAGTTAGCTACCCTATTCTCATTTATCTGTCTAAGCCAGTGGAAACCATAGTTAGTCCTGCTGGGAATGTTTTCAGGTTGAAAGAGAGTGTACATCTCGATTGCTCTCTGAGATATAAACTCAAAGGGATTTTTTTTTTCCTTAAAGATTTTATTGGGGAATTGGAGGGAACAACACTGGGGAATCGGGGAAGGGGAACAGACAAGTTGCTTTTCTTTTATTCTTCAGTTGTGGAGGGCACTGCTTCACTGGCCCATGTTGGTATTGTGATCATTGCACTCTTCCCGGCTGAAGCAGATCAGTCGCCGGCCATTGGACAGCAGCTCACAGCAGCTGCCAGCCACTCACGGTAGCTTACAGCAGCCCACTTCAGCCCCACTGCAGCATACACCAGCCCAGCTCTAGGTCGAGCTGTTGTTCACCATCTTAGCTGTAGAGGGCGCAGCATCACTGGCCCATGTGGGATCCGAACCGGTGGCCCTGCTGCTCAGCTCTCACACTCCCAAGCCAGCTCTTAACCAATGAGCCACTCGGCCGGCCCTCAAAGCGATCTTTAAAGTGCATCTCTGCTTGGTATAGGTGCCTACTTAGCCTGTAGAAGTTGATCTGTGGTTAAAATTATTAGAGTTCCCCCTTAGTCTCACAGTGCTACTCTTGTGAAATTCACCTAGGCAGACGACATTGCATGGTAAAGTCTGCTCTTAACAACTCTTGGTGACTAGGAATCTTGTAGGAATTTCTTTCAAGTGTTCTGTTGGGGACTTCCTAGGCCATTAGAAAGTTAAGATAGGAAAGAATTGCTTGCCTTTTGCCTGTGCCTCAACACCCATAAAAATTGTTCAGGCTTTGAAAGGGATAGATAAAAAGGTGTTCTTTATAGTAGCCTGCTGACTTTCTTCTCTGCCTAAAGGCAGTTAGATGCAAGTTCATTTAACTCTTGAATAGTCTGAATAGTGAATTCAAAACAGCTAATTCAGAAGCTTCACTTTGGAGAACACTCATCTGAATTCAGTATATTGCAGTATGTTGTAGTCCAACTAGTCAAGGAGTATGTTAGAGCCTTTTTCAGTCAGCCTCCTCACTGCATTATCCCATAGAATAAGTAGATCATCACCAGGACCTGAGATCTTACTTGGATTTGACCCGCATTTTCAGTCCCTTTCTCCATTAGAATCTTTCATCCTTGACCCTTAAAGATAGCAGCTATCTGATTTGTATGCTTCCTCTATTTTATTTATTATTATTAATTATTTGTTAATTATTCTTTATTTTTTTATTCTATTTTTTATAAGCACTCAAAATAATTTCTAAAGATCGAATCCACCCTTTTATTTTAACAATAAAATAATTGAGATAGTTAAAAGGTAGTAAGTAATAAGCTGTCAAGGACCTGCACGTTGCTCAAATTGAGCTGATCTCAAAATAGCGTTAGCTGATTTTCCACTATAACCTTTCTCTTGTCTCCAGTTTTGAAGTCTGTGAGCATGTGGGTGTTTTGAATTCTGCTTAGATGTAAGAAGGGTGTTTGCCCAGCAGCAGTGAAGTGGAAAGCACACCAGTCTTGGAATCAGAGGATCCAAACGTGACTCTTAGTAATGTGCCCTTGGGCAAGCTGGTTGACCTCTCTGAGCCTTTATTTCTTCTTAAAATGGAGCATAACGCCACCAACCTCAAGGTGGTTAATGAGGATTAAATGAAGTAACAAATATGGAACTTGGTAAATATTTGCTGGCAAAGTCATTGTCTATTCACCTGGAACCCAGGCCTCTAGGTCAGAATTTTGGTACCTTCCAAGAACCATAGGCTCTCCCTTCATCCAGAAAGCTTAAAATTCCAGCTACCAGGTTAATGGTTAAAAAAGACACACTCTCTTTTCCCAGAACACAGCAGGTTTTGCTAAAATTCTGGGCCCTGTCTCCCTCCAGGAAGGCTATGGCATTGGGGACGATGAATACTCCTGTGCATACGATGGGTGCCGGCAGCTCATCTGGTACAACGCCAGAAGCAAGCCTCACATACACCCGTGCTGGAAAGAAGGTATTCATTCCTCTCCATCATGAATTTATCGGCTAGGTGAAGACATTAGGTTATTATGAAGCATCTATTATGTTAGGTCTTAAAATGTTTTAATGGAAGAATATGAAAAGGATTAGCCTTGGTATCCCCTGCCATGGATGTGAGTGGTGTTCACCTGGTAAGTTCACTTCTAGTGGAGCCCTTCTTTCAGCAAAAACATCTCAGGAGTATAAAATTCTTAATTTAGTGGGAACGATAATTGTAAGATTAATGTGAGTTCTAGTTTCTGCTCTGGGTATATGTTTTGAATCATAGCAGCCATGGAGATATTGAAATACTGACATTGTAATGCAAGTTAAATGAGGATGTTTTCAGAGACCAGATGGCTGTGGAATAGGCACTATTCAGTATTCACATTCTGGCACCCCTAGAGCAGCTATTAAGGGTGACTTGAGCGAGCACTTGTGGCCACAAACACATCTGCCCAGCCTCCATTCTCCAGACATCAGACTCAGGATGCTGTAGGGAGCACAGGCTACCAGCACACTCAATCGTGGCTCTAGGATTTTTTGCAGGAATATATCTTAGCAACAGCATGCTCTTCTTCACCCCATTCAATTTTTGTTCCATCCAATTTGCAGTATCCAAGACCTTAGACCCATGAAAACATTTATTAATGAAAGATTCAAGCAGCAAAGTTACAACCACACCATTGATTTGTAACACTGAAGGATTTAAGGTTATTGAGTCTTTTTATCCCCAGCTAAATACAGTGAAAACAGGCCTTCCCTGCACAGCACCATTGCATGGAGGCTGGTATTCTCAGGAGCCATGTGGGCCCTTCACCCCCTTGTTCTGAAGACATAGGGTCGTATTTAGGGGATGAAGCCTTTGAAAGATTTTATTCCCAGCATTGGAGCTAAATAAGGCATATAGTCCAGCTCCTTCTCCAAGCCTTCTATCTCTGTTTCCTTCCTGCCCCAGTCAGCATTATAGATGTAAAGTGAATTTTCAGGCATGCTGAGAGAACAGGAATTTGACCACTGCCGTGCAGGGACAGCTCCACTTAATTAACTAAATTGATAGTGTGGGAAAGGAAAAACCTTAAAAGCCAACATAAGCCTTTATTTTAATGGCTTGCAGGTTTTTAAAGGAACATAAAGCTTCATTTAACAGTATAGGATAGATGCACTGTCTGCAAAAACTGTCTAGTTTGTATTTTTAAATAGTTTTAAAAATGATTAGTAATATGTTTATTATAAAAATTTGGAAAATGGGGAAAGCAAAATGAAACTAAAATCTCCATCCAGAGATTTTTTTTAAAAAAACATTTAAAATTTTGTATATACATTCCTTATTGTTATACTTAATATACCTTAAACAGCTTTACAGGTTATTAAATAACATTTTAATGGCTTTTTAAATATTATATAATCGTACTATATTAATCAGTACCTCAAGGTTAGATACATTTTTCCTTTTTAAATTATTATAAAAAATAATATAAACCATTCTGGATTTCCTCAGGATGAGTGCTTAGAAGTGAAACTCTCTGGCAAGGGGGATAAAGAATTTCATTTTTGAAATTCCTTTGCTATATATTACCAGATTTTCCTCCACCAGCAATGAGTGTCCATTTTTCTTGACATCGCTGTGTAATTTCCCGTGTTTATCTTGAACAATTTAAAAAGCAAAAACTTGATGAGAAGCTGAATGCTTTTTTTTTTTTTTTTAATGTTTTTGGGCAGTTGTTAGGGAATTTTAAATCTCACCCAAGAGGCAGAGAAGCACATGATTTTGATCTTATTTCACTGATCCCAAAATGCACATTTGTAGCATCTTTGAAATTGAGATGCATCTTACAATGGATGGCTTGTCACAGAACAATCGGCAGCATTTTCTTCTGAATGGTACACTAAGTAACTGCTGTGGAGGGGGTCAGATCAGTTGCAGAAAAAGCAAGCAAGATGGATATGTTGACTATGGCTACAGATGCAAACTCAACACAGTGTCATTAAAACCCTTGGGACACTTGGCAGAACCCTGGTAGTGTACACCCTTATCCTAACAGTGTTTTGCTTTATCTTGTAGGAGATACAGTAGGATTTCTGTTAGACTTGAACGAAAAGCAGATGATCTTCTTCTTAAATGGCAACCAGCTGCCTCCTGAAAAGCAAGTCTTTTCATCCACTATGTAAGTAGCTTTTCCCAGACAAAAATTCGAGGAGATGCATGGAATGCAGTTTTACTTTTCTCCAAAAAAAAAAATTCGTCCATTTATGTGGTCACTTGAGATGAGAAATCATTTTATTTCAAGTAATTGGGGACCCATTGGTCGTACCTAAAGCTATCTCACAGTTTTCACCTGGGAAGGCGAAAGCAGGAGGCTGGTTCACAGGCCTCTCTCGGTTAGTAAGCCGACCCTGTCACTCTTCTTGTCTGCTAGGCTGTGATTCATTACGAGTCTTAAAACCACTTTACGTATGAGCTTTACTTTGTTTTTATGAGTTCTCTTGACCTCTGTACGTTTTTATCTGTAGATCTGGATTTTTTGCTGCAGCTAGTTTCATGTCATATCAACAATGTGAGTTCAATTTTGGAGCAAAACCATTCAAATATCCACCGTCTATGAAATTTAGCACTTTTAATGATTACGCCTTCCTAACAGCTGAAGAGAAAATCATTCTGCCAAGGTAAGGAATCTGCGTGGGCTATCTCATACTTTCATGCATCTCATGAGAAATTAAAGTTTCTAAGAGACGTTTTTCAACTTTATACAAATAATTCTGAAAACCTGAGTAAAGTAGTGACTTCCTAAGAAATATAAATTACTAGAACACATCCCAGAAGAGATACAAATGAACAGTTGTTATAAAGTTAATTGAAAAACATTAAGAGCTATGTTCCCAAAAAGCATCAGACCCAGGTCGTTTCACAGGCGACCTTCACCATATCTTTACGTGACAGATAGCTTCATTGCTATTTAAAATGTTACAGAACCCAGAAAGAAAGAGCACTTCCAGATAATTTTTATGAGCTAAATAAATAACATCCAATTTGAAAATCAGACAACATAACACATGCACATACACCAAAAAAAACCCGACTAACTTCACTTGAATGCCAGTGTAAAAATCCTAAATATTAGGAAATCAAGTGCATCTTTTAACAAACTTGGGTTTATTGAAACAGACTTCTCGTTGGGTTTTAGCTGCATGGCAAAGATGCCCACACTGTACTATGACCACTAGGAGGACAGTGAATGCCATCTTGGATAAAATGTCACAGCTGTTATTTGCCCAAAACTGTGATTGGCATTAATTGTCTCATTGGATGAATGCCTCCTTTTCTTCCTTGTGAGATGAACATAGTCTGTTCCTTAAGCTGGGAAAGACTCCAGCTGCTTCCTGGTAATTACTTCAAGTTGAAGCTTGTTTCACAATATCAGGCAAAGTTTATTATTTTTTACCAGAGCAGCTTCCTGGACCTGTGTGAGGAAGGGGATTTTTGTTACTAATGCCACATGTGTTTTGTCAATAACAGTCTCAGCACTGAAGGAGACCATACTGGCCATGGCAGAGCCAGTATTGGGCCTTTCTGCCCCTAAGGGACTCCTATAACATAACATAATCCTAGCTCCTGTTTTGGCTCAAAAAACAGGTCTGTAAACAGCCCTCTGGGCTGTGCTTCACCTTAGACTCAGTGCCTAAAGGCTTAAGAGTGGCTCAGCAGTGTCTGAATGAACTAGAAAATGTCACATAGTGACAGCAGCATCGGCTGCACCAGCAGAACCTCCAGAATATCCCAAGAACAAAAGGGCTGCTTACATCCCAACTCAGGGACCTGAGGTTCATTCCTAGAACTTCCCTTCGGTTGTCTTAGTGCCTGACAGAGATCCTTAACTTTAAACTCCTCTTGGTGAAAGTCTGAAGTAACAGCACTTCTCATCTGTCATACCCCATTACTTTTTTATTTAGCCTATCTTCTTGAATGCAGTGCATAAATAAGTCTGCCTTCTCACATACATCCTGAAAGGTATGGCCGATCCATCTAAGAGTTCCCCCTGGAGGCTGGCCTAAGTTACATCTGCTTCAGCATTTACTTAACCGCCCCTGCAGAATTAAATGTTGCAAAAGTCAGATGGCAGCAGGTATCCACTATCGGCAAGTCTCCTTTTATGGGCAGCTTCTAGATTCTCCCTTGGTACCACATCAATTCAGCACTGAAAGTGCAGCCTGCCTTGAATAAAAACAGCGGAGTTAAAAACTAGAGCAGTCCTATGCTGCACTAGACTTTGTCTCTGACAGTGACATCAAGATAGGAATTGTTGGAGGCTAACCGAGTGGCCTCCTTAATGCCAACCTCCTACTAGTACATTCCAATCACAATTAATTACAAATTGTGGCATTAAGTGTTAAGGTGCCCAAGACCATTTTCTATGCCTTTAATAGTTTCAGCCCGTGTTCCAAAAGCTTATATTCAGGGATACTTTTTAAATCATTGGAATAGTATTCCTTCCTGGCTTCAGAGTAGGAGATCATGGCCGTCAGTACCTGGGATTTTGTAGATTGTTCTTTATTGTGTATACCCTCTGACTCTAATTCCTCTCCTTTCGTTCATTCTGTTTTTCTTCTTCTTAACCTTTTTAGTATGGCTTTAGTATCACAAACTTCAAATACACATAAAAGAAAAAAGAATAGGATAGCGAAGTATCATGTACCCACCTCTCAGCTACAGTAGTCATCCACTTGCGGCCACCTGCTTTCTCCTCCAGCCTTCCTGGAGTCCATCCATTATCATTCCAGATTCTCGGGCCATAATTCTAGAGTATCCTTGACACCTTACTTCTGCCATTCCCATATCCGATCCCTCAGCAAATCCTGTGGGCTGTGTCTTCAGATTGTATCCCAAATCCAACTGCTTTCTTATCATCCCTTCTGCTACCACGATGGTCCAAGCCTCCATAATTTCCCACCTGGATTATGTTTGCCCTGCCCTCTAGTCTCCCTGTTCCTGCCTTGACCCCCTTCAGTCTATTCAACACAGCCTTCAGAATGATTTTGTTACAACTTAGATCAGATCATGTGCTTCTCTGTTCAGAATACTTAATGGCTTCCCATTTCACTTAAGGTAAAATCTTAAAACCCTTACGGTGACCTACCGTGCCCTACATGATTTGTCCCCTCCGTTCCAATATTTCTTTGACTGCATCTCCTACCCGCTCCCATTTGTTCATGTTCCTTCTTCAGCCACCCTGGCCTCCTTGCTGCTTCTAAAACATACCATAGTTTTAAACTTTTAAATATTTAAAACATACTAAGGTCTATTGTAGCCTCAGGGCCTTTGCACTTGCTCTTCCTGCAACTAGAAGGTCCTATGTGTATTTTTCAAAAATACCAAGCAATAACTCAATTCTGACTCTTATCTACCTGGAGATAGCATCAGATCCCACAATTTAAGGGCTCCGTCATACAAGACTGCCCTACTCCCCCACTTTAAATGCCAGTCAAAAGTTCAGGTTGTTACCTGTGCTTCCGACCGACCAGCTGTAAATAGGTTCCCAGGACCCCCTCCTACTGATCAATTAATTTGCTAGAGCAGCTTACAGAACTCAGGAAAAATTTACTTAGTACATTACTGGTTTATTATAAAAAGGATATAACAGGAACAGCCTAGGGCAAGGTATAGAGAAAGGGCACAGAGCTCCCATGCCCTCATAGTCATGGGCATGATTGATTAAATCATTGGCGATTGGTGATTGAAGTCAATCTCTAACCCCTCTCCCCTTTAGTCAGAGGATGGGGCTAAAAGTTTCCAAGCTCTTATTACAAGGTTGGTTCCCCAGGCAGCCAGCCCCCTTAGCTTACCTAGGGACTTTTCTAAAGTAACCTCAGTAACCTATAAAAAGAGACCTTTTTCTTAGGAAGTTTCAAGGGTTTTAGGAACCCTGTGCCAGGAATGAGGATGAAGACCAAATATATATATTTCTTATTATAAATCATAATATCATAAATGCAACAAAAATTGTGATATAACCTTTTAAAAAATTAAAGTCGTGTTCTTTTGACCTTCATTCAACAAGAAACTATTAGCCTCACATTAAGAGGATAATTTAGCAGAAGCAATGGCTTGAAAGAGGGAGGAATTTTAAATAAAAGAAATTAATTCCTAAATAAATAAAATCACACTATCACAAATGGTCTCTCTCCAGATATCCGCAAGGCTCACTGCTTTACTCTCTTCATGTCTTGATCTAAATGTCACCTTAATGAGACCTTCCCTTGTGGCCATGTGTAAAAGTGTAACTCCCTGCCTCTCACATATACCCTCCTTGTCCTCCCTGCTTTATTTTTCGTCATGCTACTGCTTGTCAGCGTTTAACAGTCTGTATATTTCACTTTTTTATCTGGTTTATTGTCTGTCTCCCCCCACTGGAGTGTAAGCTCTCTGAGATACTTTTTTAGTCCCCTCTTCACTGCTGAATCACCAGGGTTTGGAACAGTGCCTGGCACACAGGGAGGCCTTACGTGCTTGAATGAATGCTTTGTGTTTCTCTTGCCCATGCGTCAAGGCTGTCCCTTCAGCAGTGCCGTTCTGCCTCTACTTTTACATTCCCAACTGAGTGAAAGTACAGGGCAGGGATTCTAGCATGAGGTGCCTGGACGTCCAGGGAGTCTACGATGGGCACCTTGAAATTGTATAAAAACTTGTATATGTGTATTTTCCTTGGGAAAGGCCATATGCTTTTTTTTTTTTTTTTTAAGATTTTTTTTTTATTGGGGAATTGGGGGGATGGGAACAGTGCTGGGGAATTGGGGGAAGGGGAACAGACAAGTTGCTGTCGTTTTGTTCTTCAATCTAGTTGTGGAGGACGTTGCTTCACTGGCCCAAGTTGGCACCATCATTGCGCTCTTCTCTAATGAGGCAGATCAGTCGCCGGCTTCTGGACGGCCGCTCACTGCGGCTGCTGGCCGCTCACGCTGGCTGCTGGCTACACACGGTAGCCCATGGCAACCCACTGCCACAGGGATTGCAGCCTACGCCGTCGCCGGCGACTCATGGCAGCCCAGCTCCAGGTTGAGCTGTCATTCAGCATCTTAGCTGTGGAGGGCAGTGTCACTGGCCCTCACATGTGGGATCCGAACCGGGGCCCTCTGGCATCCCAAGCGAGTTCTTAACCATCGCGCCACTCGGCCGGCCCAGGCCATATGCTTTTCATCAAACTTTCAGAGATGTGTGACTTAAAATGTTAAAATTTTGCTGGTAAAGAGCATTGACCTTAGAACTAAAAGATTTGAATTTGATTCATGAATCTGTTTACTGTGTGTGGCCTTATGCAAATCATTTCCTTCAACTATTTGTACAATGGGAATGACCATGCCTCCTTCATTCCAAAGGGAATCCAGTGATTTCAGACCTTTGTAAGAGTGAAATGAGATGTCATGTGTGAAAACTACTGAATAAAACAAGGAATGGGATACACAGTATGCAAGAACGTCCAAACATATAGAAAGATTTTATATTAGAGTTTATTTGAGCCAAACTGAGGACATGCCTGGAAGCAAGATCTCAACTGAATGAGAAAATGCTCCATAGAATGGCAGTTTTGCAGCTCTTTTTATGCATTTAGAATCAAAGGAGAGAAGTAATGAAGGTACATGAAATCTATTGGTGGTAGATTTATTAAGGAGGCTGAAATAAGCAAAAGAGGGGGATTTTCTAGGATTGGTGGGTGCAGAATAGTTAACATTTAACTTTTACAGTAAATAAAGATGGTATGTGGGCAACAAGATAACGATGAGGAGTTCCAGGTGCTCTACCCAGTGCCTCCCAGGGTTTATGCCTCCCAGGGATTTGGCATTTCAAAGGTTGTTATCCTAGATACCTAAGATCAGTGGACAGGGCTGCTTAAGGTAAAGGAAGCTATGGGCCTGGGAAGTGACTACCCACCATGACCTGCCCAGTTAGGAATTTATGATCAGACCAGCCTGTGTGGTTACTTTTGTCACTGAGCTTGTCAGGCCTGTCGTGTGCCCCCCTGAGCTTGCTGGGTCTGCTGTGTAGTCCCTTTTTCGTCCACAACACACACAAAGCATTTTCAAAGCATTTTCTATGCATTTCTGCTAGCAGGCTCCATTTATTGGTTGACAAATTGTGTTTTCTACTCAGGCACAGGCGTCTTGCTCTGTTGAAGCAAGTCAGTATCCGGGAAAACTGCTGCTCCCTGTGTTGCGATGAGGTAGCAGACACGCAATTGAAGCCATGTGGACACAGGTAAGATGGTTTGTTTGATTATTTCCTATTTTGCACATTATATTAGGCAAGGTGTCATCCTGTGTTTGAATTGCTTTTAGAGCATTACCAGTTCCATATCTGAATGAGGAATTAGAGTTTGCCAAGTACACAGGGCTGTCTTCCAGAAAGTTCCTGAAATAGAAGAAGCTGCTTGATATGGAATACCTGTGTTTTCTCAATACTATATTTTTAATACAGTTTTCACATCACAAAATGTAAAAGGATTAATGCTATTTATGAGTTTCTTCGGCAACCCCTCTTAGTCTTACAGCCTTCTCATATACTTATTATTTACAGTCCTAACCATTGAGAAGGCAGCATCTCCCTGCCATCTAACCAGATTTCAGTTGTATGAGATGAACTCAGAGGGCAGCCTAGATCCTATAGTACAGAGTGGCTAAACATCATCAAAACCAGCAAGTAAGCTGGTCCCCAAGAAGGCCAACCCAACTAAGGGTAGAAAGTGGATGGAAGGGCCGGCCAAGTGGCCCATTGATTAAGAGTTGGCTTGGGACGCCAGCTCTGAGCAGCAGGGCCCCGGTTCGGATCCCACATGAGGGCCAGTGATGCTGCGCCTTCTACAGCTAAGATGGTGAACAACAGCTCGACCTGGAGCTGGGCTGCCGTGAGTCACCGGCGACGGTGTAGGCTGCAGTGGAGCTGCAGTGGGCTGCTGTGAGCTACCGTGAGTGGCTGGGAGCCCATGTGAGCGGCCGGCAGCCAACATGAGCTGCCAAGAGCCGGCGTGAGCAGCCATCCAGTGGCCAGCAACCGATCTGCCTCACCCGGGAAGAGCACAATGATAATACCGACATGGGCCAGTGAAGCGACGTCCTCCACAACTAGACTGAAGAGCAAAAGGACAGCAACTTGTCTGTTCCCCTTCCCCGATTTCCCAACGCTGTTCCCCTCCCCCAACTCCCCAATAAAGTTTTTTTAAAAAAGGGGAAGAGAAGGCAGTGCGTGGGCCCTGGCCCAGCCCAGGATTGTGTGCTGACTGCATGTGAGCAGTGCCCACACTCATGTTCCAGGCCAGCTCCCTATATAGTTCACCTCGGCCCATACCATACCTTGCTCTTATTTATTTTTTTTTTTTTAAGATTTTTTTTTATTGGGGAATTGGGGGATGGGAACAGCGCTGGGAAATTGGGGGAGGGGAACAGACAAGTTGCTGTCGTTGTTCTTCAGTCTAGTTGTGGAGGACGTTGCTTCACTGGCCCAAGTTGGCACCATCATTGCACTCTTCCCGGGTGAGGCAGATCAGTCGCCGGCTTCTGGACAGCTGCTCACGGCGGCTGCTGGCCACTCACGCTGGCTGCTGGCTGCACACGGTAGCCCATGGCAACCCACTGCCACAAGGGCTGCACCCTCCACCGTCGCCGGCAACTCACGGTAGCCCAGCTCCAGGTTGAGCTGTTGTTCAGCATCTTAGCTGTGGAGGGCAGTGTCACTGGCCCTCACATGTGGGATCCGAACCGGGGCCCTCTGGCGTCCCAAGCCAGTTCTTAACCATCACGCCACTCGGCCGGCGCCTTATTTTTGACATAGCTTTAGCCACCAAGTCTCCTAGCGGTCCAGAGCCTAGAGTGATGGACCCCAACTTGTCACCCCTGGGCATGGCACAGCCTGGGCCCCTGACTCTGCCTCTGTTTGTTTGCTGTCCTTTGAAATGGGTTGTTATCTAATTGGCTGCTAAGGGACGTGCATATGGTGTATCATCTGTCACCCTTAGCTATACCAGCCTCTCTTCTGAAAGAAAGCACAATGGCTTCACTTGTGGTTTTTCCTTGGTATCAACTCTGCAGCCCAGAACTCCTCAGTTTGAGTTCCTTTGGAGATTTTAGTTTTCAGGGCCTCACAGGCAGATGCAGAGTTTAAAGGTTGGATCTCTTAATACCCTTTTTAATATTTGTTTCTTTAAGAATGTGAAGATCCCAAACAGCAGGATCTGGTCTTAGTCATCTTTGCACTCTCTGGCCCTTCTCCATGGCTTTTGCACAAAGTAAGGGCTCATGATTGAAGGCTGAAATCTAAAAACTTGGAACCAGTTATCTTAAGTATGAGCACATTCTCTTTAATAAACAAATCCAAAACAGGGTTGGAGGAGCAAACTAAAAGAGTTATAAGAAAGTTTATTTCAACTTTCAGCAGCGACAACAATTTTAAAAGGGTAGGGGTAAAGAAAGGAAATCTGGATACACAGAATGACATGAACAGACCATGAGAAGAGATTCCTATTACCACAGAAGAAACTGAGATGATTATCAAAGCTACCTTTGTCTCTTCCCCCTCGAAAGCACTAAGCCCAGATGGTTTCACAGGTGAATTCTTTCAAACTTGCAAGGAATAGATAGATTCTATTTGAACCTCTCCAGACCATAGAGAAAATAGGAAAAGAACCATATTCTTTTTACAAAGCCTACATGATAATCATACCAAAAGTGGATAAAGAAAAAAAGAAAAAAAGAAAAAGAAAACACCAAAAAAAGAACACTTAGGAATATAAATCTAAAAATCTCAAATATTATCAAGTAGGACCCAGCAACACAACAGTGGGTGGGGTGGGAGCTTATCTCAGGAATGCAAGGATGGTACAATATAGGAAATCTACTTATATAATTGACTCAACTAGGCCAAGGGGAGAGAGGCTGGAAATTAACACTTTTTCCAAAAATGCTGCAATGTCATTCGTTAAAATTCAGTATCCATTTCTAACAGATGGAATATTACAAAACAGAAATGAATGGAGGGAAGAAAACTATAAAATAGGAATGTGTGGATACTTCCTTAACAAAATAAAGACACATATATCTCAGCCAACCCCTCGCATCTTTTTAATGGTGACGTACCGGAAGCATTCTAAGAGATGGTGGGGACAAAATAAGGATGCCAGCTGTTGGCACCATGATTTGCATTGTATAAGCTAAGGCAGTTAGACAAGAGAGAGAAAAGAGGCAGAAAAACTGGAAAGAGGAACGAAATCATTTGGAGATGATGGATTGTATACCTGGGCACCAGGAGAATTGAGTGAAAACCTATTAGCATCAGTGTGACAATGGAACAAGCTAGTTGGTTAAAAAAAACAGTAGCTCTTCTATATATGAACAGCAACCATTTAGACCATATAATTGAAGATTCCTTTTATAATAGTCAAAAAATGAAAAAATTTTTAAAAGGCTATTTAAGAATACATACCAAGAAATGTGTGATGCCTATAAGAAGAAACCTTTTAAACAACCAAAGTATATAATAGAAGACTTGAATAAATAGGTCTGTTTTTGGATAAGAAGACCTCTCAGTATTGTAAAAGTGACAATTTTCCCTAAACTTTAAGTTTAATTTAGTCTATATAAAAAGGGCAACATAATTTTTGTTGTTGTTCTAGAAAAAGAAACACTAATTTAAAAGTTCATGTGATGGTAAGACAAGAAAATTCTAAAAAACAAGGTATGGAGGGAGCCTACACTACCTACCACATCTTAAAATATGTTAAAATAAATGTGTATAGTTGGGTCCCAGTATAGGAAAAGAATGACAGAACAATGAAACAGAATAGAAGCCCAGAAATACAACTAACTACAAATGAAAATGTGATAAAAGATATTGTGTCAAACTACAATGAAAGATGGCCTATTTAGCAAATGATAGTGGGATAAATGGCTAGCTGTCTAGGAAAAAATAGCATTGTATCTCTACCTACATACACACATCTGCATGTATATACTGTGTACATACAGACTTTCTGGAATATCCCACATGAAATTTTATTCCTCAGAAGAGGAATACTGAGGATCAGAAATAGGAGGGAGACTTATTGTTTATTTGTATATTTACTTCGTTTTTTAGTCATTAAGTATTTCCCGTTCACTTAACAAGCTTGTGAACATCTTTAGATTAAGTCAGCAGTAGTGGTCAGTTTGACCTTTTGAAGCGTTAACCTAACTGGCATTTGTCTTTCTCCTCAGTGACCTGTGCATGGATTGTGCCTTGCAACTGGAGACCTGCCCATTGTGTCGTAAAGAAATAGTGTCTAGAGTCAGACAAATTTCTCATATTTCATGACACACGTGAAGAGGCATGATGGACTTATTTCTACTCAATTCCAGCCAATGTTGAAAAGAAAAACAAAAGAAAAAAATCTCATCAGTTGTACGCACATTGAAACTTATAGCCATGGCCAGATTTTATGCTAAAAATGGTAGTTTGTCAAAGACAAAATTCTCTTAGAATCTAACCCAACTTGCCAGCCCTGAGAAATTCCTTTTAAGGCCAAGGAAAGCTGAATACTAACAAGCTAGGCCTGTGGTACCGGTACCTCCATGAAAATCAATAGGAGACAGTGCCCTCCTGAGTGCTGAAACCACACTGGAATTCTCCACGTTGGGATCATTTAACACAGGAGGTCTTGTCTCATATTCTAAAGTTTTATTTTGGACAAAATTCATTATGGAGAAGTAAATGACATCATTTCTGGGTTAAGTACAACCTCCCATTGTTCAGATACTGGTGTGTTAAGCGTGGATATTGCACTGCAAGACTTGAATCTATAAAACTAGAATCACACAGGTCAATCAATACTACAAGCAACATGGAGGGCCTGAAAGAAGGTGCACAGACTGTAGGGGGGAAAACCCACATTTTTGATATTTCAGTGATTCCAAAGAGCGGCTAGTTTTTTTTTTTAACTACAGAAAATTGGTGGTATTATCACATTCATGGTGTTTCTATCCAATTTCAGTACCCACATTTTGTGAGGAAAAAATGTTTTAACAATGCAGAAGGAATTCTTAAATTAATTGCAATGTTTGACTCGAGAAAATTTGGTATTTAGGGTATTTTTAAGGTACCATCAAATCAGGTTTTCTGTTTTTTGTTAAAAAAATTTTTTTTTTAAATCAGTGTTGTTTTGGAAGTAATATATCTTGAAACTCTTGAACTAATAGTCTCAAAAACTCTTAGAGGACAGTCTGAGAGCACATATTCCTATTGTTTTAAATAAATACATGTTTTTGAATAGTAAATTCAATCATGGATTGTTGACTATGTCTTCATCAAAAGTGTTAATCCCTCTCAGGGTCTCTGGTGAAGACCTTCAAGAGTTGTTTTTTCTCCCAGAAAATTGGAAGGTAGAATTGTAAATTCATAGAACTTATTTTATAATGGTGTACCTCAGCAGCTGCCTTTCAATTTATGCCAAGTCCTTACTGAGTTTATACTTGAATAGTAAATATGTCTTCTGAGTTTTACAGTGTCTTAAACTCAATGCACATATTTTCTTCCTTTCCCACCCGTTCTTGTTTGTAGTTCATTAAACTGTCCTATTACAGAGCTGATCCCCTTCCTGGCCGTACTTGTTGGGGTGCTGGATTTTTTCCATGTCTTTAGTCTTCCATAAATTCAAATATATATATAAATATATAAATATATATATATGTTCTCTTTAGCTTGTGGTGAATCAGTAATTTGCATTGAAGAAATAAAACATTTGTTGCCTTTTTTGACTAAGATTTCACAACTTTCATTGGTGCCTGCTGCTAAAGTTCCAAGATATCATACTCTCAAGTTTAAGGGTTACTTTCTAGGATAGGAGAAAATCAAGCATTAGAATTAAGAAGCAGGGCCGGCCGAGTGGCTCAGTTGGTTAAGAGCTCGCTCGAGTTTGAGCTCTAAGCAACAGCGGTTCAATGCCCGGCCTGAGCTGAGCAGCCGCTGAGCTGCCGACAGGTGGCAGGATGGCTCAGCTTAAAAAAAAAAAAAAGAATTAAGAAGCAAGGTTAATCACTTATTCACCCAGCAAATCTTTGTGGAGCACCTAATATGTTCTGGGCACTGTGCCTCTGTGGTATAGGAAACAGATCTATTCATGGAGCTTACTTCCATCTGGTAGTGGGATTAAGACATATTTGTGTTTATTGTAATAAATTGTTAGTGCCTTGAAAAAAGAATAGGGTGCTATGAGAGAGAATGAGGGGGACTTAATTTACATGGCAGGGTGGATTGCGGGGAGTGGGACAGAGGAAACCACACTAAAGAGGTAGTAGTAAAAACTCAGAAAGGAAGACGGAGGACATGGCCAGGCAGAGAGACAGAGAACAAGCTTCTAGGACATGAACACAACATTACAGGCAAAGGCCCTAACTTGGGAGGAAAGGAGCACAGTGGGTGGGCTTCATGATCTGATGGAAGGCCCATGTAGCTAGTAAGACAGCAATGGGTGGGTAGAATTGTATGCTTCAGTGGTGGAGAGGTCAGGGGACTGGCTCAAGAAGCCATGTTAAGGATTTTGTATTTTATCCAAAGTGCAATAGAAAGCAAAGGAGTTTAAACATGGAAGTGATTTGATAAATAATTTTTAAAATGGCTATGGCTTCTCTGTGGAGAATGGAAAGCGGTGTGTGGGGGTGGGGGTGGGGGGCAGGATAGATGACATGCAAAAAATGGAAATAGTAAGACCAGTAGGGAAACTGAAGGGATCCAGCAGAGAGATGAAGGTGATCTGTAAATGCAGTGGAGATAGAGAAAAGTAAATGGAATTAATAGGTAATGTGTCTCTGTTGGAGCCTATTAGCTTTCTAGATATCTACCCTTGAACTTTGTTCATAAGATGATCTACTTTCTAATTGTTCTAGATCATAAAACAAGATTTCAATATTAATCATTCAGGATGGAAGCAAAGTTGTAATCTTGGAGCTACTTCAAAGGGAAAGATATTTACTCCATTTAGGGAAAAATCTAGGGGTTAGCAAGCTGTGTGTGGAAGAGTAACTAGTAGATCTATATTATGTAGTACCTGTAAGCATTTTAAGAGACAGGCTTTTACTGATGATGTATTGTACCAGAGAGAAAAAAAAATTATTTTTTATTTCCTAGATTCCAGCCCTCAAAAAACAACCAAAACATTTTTAATAAATTGCCACCTTTTTTGAATGATATTGATAAAACAAGATAAAGTCATGGTGTCATTCACAGAATGCCAGGAAACAATAATTCAATCACAGAAACCAAAACAATTCCACTACGAGGAAATGATTTGCATAAATTTCAACTATCTTGAACATGTATCTGTGAAAACCAAACTGTGCAACTACAATCAGCTTTCCCCAAGATCGTCAGTTTTTTCTATTTACTCACTGAAAACAATGGCTAACCCACAAAAGGTTTAAGAAATGATTATTAATGGAAAACATTTAATATAGTCAAGTAAATGTTTTAGTTCCAGATCCCACAGATATCTACTTTGTGTCCATTCAAAATATCAATTCATTCAGGCTGGCCATCTCAGATGAAACCTAAGCCATACTTTTAATCTCAGTATACATGTACCACACATTTGGCTAAAAGGTAAAATGTAACGCAAAAAACAATGCCTAGTGGTCCAGTCAAGAGAAATCAGCTTTGGGGAATCTTTTTTGCACAATTTGGCAATTTTGGAGGGGACTGTTTTCTGATTGCATTGTTCAAAAGAGTTCTGTCCACTTTTATCTCGCATAAGCCAAGAAGCTAGTTACTGCCTAATAATCTTTATGATGTGAATATTATCTTTTATGATGTAAATTACGAGACTTCCACTTCTTGCAGTGAGGCTTTCCTTCCACGAGAGGGAGTACCTGCCTTGCAAATCTGACGTTTGCATTATCTGAATCAAAAGCTTAAGGGATTGGGTCTCAAGAGATTTGCAACTTATAATGCTCTTTAAACTACTTAGTCTTCTAAAATCTTGTTAATTTGCAAATGAGGAAATTGAGGCTCGGCTTGGATTCTTTCTTCCATAAAACCGGGGCGACGTAAGATTTAATCGCCGCATAGCGTGAGAACGTCAGCGACCCCGAGGCCCAGCTTGCCTTGGCGACTCCATCCCTTTCCCTCACTTCCTTTCCCTATTTTCGCCCCGCCCGGGCGTCGGGCAACGTGCACCTGTGATTGGTTGTCAGGAGCAGCGAGGCGGCGGAAGCGATTGCGGTGACCATGGTGACGGGAGGCGGGGCGAGGCGCCAAGAGATCTGTAACCGACCGCGACCCTGCCCCTGCAGCGGCTTGTGCAGAGGTCTGGCGGGGCGTAGCGGCCCGGCCAGTGCGTGGCTGCAGCCGGGAGCCTGAGGCCGGGCCCTCGAGCATAGGTGCTGACCCGGCTGGGCCGTGAGTTGGCCGTCGCCTCGGTGGCAAGGCCTCCCCGATGCCGGTTGGGGCTTTGCGGAACAGAACGGAGGCTGGGCCCGGGCCGCGGGCAGGGTAAGAGGCTGACGGGCCCGCTCGCTCGCACCGGGTGGATGCGGCGGCGGCGATGGACGCTCTAGAGGAAGAGAGCTTCGCGCTGCCTTTGTGAGTCACACCGCCCGGGAGGCTGGAGGCTGGGGTTTGCTGGTGCTCGGCCTCGGCGCTTTGAAACGGGTGCCCTCGCGGGGTGGGGGACCGATAAGTTTCCGCCCGGGTTCCTGGTGTCGATTCTGCCGCTGCAGCGACCGCCGGGTTTAGGCCCGGGAGGACGAGTGTGGGGCGGGCGCCTCTGTCACAACCCCCCTGCCTCTAATCTTCAGTCGCCAGCAAAGCCGGGAGGATTTGAGCTGCCGAGGCCCGACCATGGGCCAGAGGACCCTTCACCAGGGACTCCTGACCTAATTTCCACCTCCCCCTTCTGCCAGTATCTCGCCTGCGTTAGGTTCACGTTCACAAGCAGATAGGTGTGGGGTGATAGCGAAGGATGCGGTGAGTAGAACCGCAGGCAATAAATGCGGAGGACTCTTAAGATGTCCCATGCGACGCTTTGCTCCCTTTATTTGTCCCTTTTGTAATTCCTGGTGCATATCAGGTTTTCTGAAAGTGGAGCCATTACATTTATGTGTGATGTCACAGATGCGTCCAGTGCGTTTTATTGTTTGGAATTGCTAGATTAGACCATACTCATTTAATTGTTGAAGCTGTGATAGGAAGTTCATTTTGCCATTCTTTTTTCTTTTGTGCATGTTTGAAAATGTCCATAATAAAAATGTTTTTAAAAACGAATTCTTTGAAACAGCACCTTATCCAGGCATATTTTTCAGCTCTTCCGCCTCTGATGCAGAATTTGATGCTGTGGTTGGATATTTAGAGGACATTATCATGGGTAAGCTTCCTTGCCACAATCTGATCTATGCTCACTTTAGTAAACCCTTGCTTTTAAGGAGACTGAAATTAATTTGGAGAGTTAATTTTTAAAAGAGAGAAAAAGTCCAGCTACATATAATTTTCTAATGTAGCACAATGTAATATTGAGCCTTACTGTGATTTATCTTAAGAGGCAGACAGCCCAGTACTCCTTAAAACAATACCCAGAGATTCAGGACTTATTTCAGGTAATCAGGCACCTAGGATTTATGGGACTCTTGGCAAAACTCCAGAAATAGTGACCTCCTTTATTGTAGAAATCAAGCAGTTTAGTTTTTAGTTGTAACATTTTCGTGACACAAACGACAGCATAATACCATAACCATAGTACAAATGTCCATGAAGAAAACAAGGTTGACATACTTCAGCTGTTTCTTTATTTTCCTGGGTTCTGAGTTCCTGTTTGTGGGTTCGTTTTGGCATCCATAAGTCCTGCTAAGTTATAAGCAGTGACAGACACCAAAGATTTAAGACAGGTGTGTGAGAAAAACTTAAATTTGAGAAAATTTTGTCTATTGACCTGGTTTTTAAGGAATTAGGAAGAGTACAGTTATCTGGTGTTACTAGCTGTATTTCTTAGTCTAGTTTAGTCTGAAAATCACTGACCAAGTTTTTGTACATTCAGATCTGTGAAAGTTTACCGTATTTGCCGGCGTATAAGACAACTGGGCGTATAAGACGACCCCCTAACATTTCCACTCAAAATACAGAGTTTGTTATATACTCGCCGTATAAGACTACCCCCTCTTCCGCACACCTTCCACACACCAAATAAAAGGTAAAACAATATCAGATTTGATTTCAACATTTTAATTTATATTCAAATGCTTATGACATGCAGGAAAACTGTCACAAGGCTGTATGTAATCAAACATATACATAAAACAGTGCAAGTTTATTACCGGTAAACATACCGGTAATTCACTAAAGAAAACACACTCTATAGACTGGTACCGTAGATGCTTCTCAGGAACATAGGCAAGCAGCCCACAACCTAGAGGGACTGTCAATGATAGAAGTAAGATAACAAATGGAGAGAGCAAGTGCCGGGCAAGTCCCTAGCAAGTTTGCTGGCATGACAGTTTCCCCTTAAAAGCAATTTTGCGCTATCATACTGGGTGTATGGTCGGCTGTGTGCGATTTTGCGAGTGTGGTAAAATCGCATAACAGCGGAGCATACACCCAGCAGCGCTGCTGATGCCTGAATGGTATGTGGAATGAAGTGGGCGGGCATCGGGAGGCCACTATGGCACGGGGCAAGCACTATGGGCAGTCTATCTGAAGTGTACCTGGCGTATAAGACGACCCCCCACTTGGAGGCATATTTTTCAGGGCCAAAAAATCGTCTTATACGCCGGCAAATACGGTATGTCCTTAACCCTCTAGATACAGCTGTGTCACCATTAACCCTTCATCCCATGTGGATCTGAGGATTTGGGGGGTACTGAAGAGTACTTTGAGTTCTGTTGCCATTTATGGGTACTCTGTAGGCTGTAGGAAAGTGAGCCTTTTGTAAGCCCAGGGTATTTATCCCAAAGTCTAGGTCGTTTGTGAAGCTTTCCTTTTATTTTTAGATATAATAATTATATTTGGTTGTTATTCTCCATTTTCTACCATTTAAGTGTTTGCTATGAACTAATCTCTACATGAATTCTCATCTAAATTCCACGCAGCAATTCTGTATAATCCTCATTTTCCAGTTGAAGAAATTGGGGCTTAGAGAAATTAAGTAACGTGCCCAAGGGCACACAGTTCTAAGTGGCTGCACCCAGGCAGTCTAGCCTCTGTCAGAGCCCATACATTTATTCACTACACTGTTTCCATCACTGCTGTTGAAATTATATTAAAAGAAGAGCACCATTTTCATTCCTTCATGAGAAGTACTGAGAGGGAGTTCCCAAGCCACCTTGTATGGGTGTGTGTAAAATGAACTGGACGATGGTGGTGATGGCCTCACAACAATGTGAAAGTACTTAATGCCACCAAACTATATGCTTAAAAGTGGTTAAAATGGTAAATTTTATGTTGTATATATTTCATTATAATTTTAAAAATAGTAAGATTAAGACTGGATCCGTCTATTTCAACATTGGTGTTCCATTTAACACTTACTTGAAACACCGTTAGCTTTCCCTCTCCTAGAGACTGACCATAGAGAAACCAGTTGACATATAATTCCTGCCTATTTATAAATCAGAATGGTTTTTAGTCGCCATTAAAAAGAATGAATTTTCCTATTGTGGTTCAGATGATGAGTTCCAGTTATTACAGAGAAATTTCATGGACAAGTACTACCAGGAGTTTGAAGACACAGAAGAAAATAAACTCACCTACACGCCTATTTTTAACGAGTATGTAAGTAGATTTCTATTTCTCTTATCAGAGATTAGGATATCTTTTAACATGTGAATTTAGATGTTGACATTTGCTCGACTTAAAATCTCCCACCAGTACCATGCCAGGAATTCTAATGAGAATCTGGTTTAGTTCTCATCTCCTCTTGCTTTCCTCCAGCTTTGGGGGCTGTTTTCCAAATGTTTCATGAGTTTGTCTACTTCTATTTTAAAACATGTTTGGCTTATCAGAATCCTGCTTTCAGTTGTAATACGTGTGGTCACCACACCTTACGGTTATGTATCAGTACTTTCACCTTTTGGCTTGCACAGTTTTTGTCTACATAATCCAGTCAGGTATGTGTCACAGATAGGTCAAAGTGAAAACCAAGAGCGCTAGTTGGTTGCAAAAACTATACTAGAACCCAGGAACCTCAACTCTTGACCCTTGGGTCTTTCCTCTCTGCCAAGGCCCCAGGCAGCCTCCTGGAATGATCTCATGTGTCTGAGAATGGGTTTGAGCCTCCAGGACTTCCTTTTCTTAACATACAAGCTTGGCATAGTCAATGCAGGTTTCCTTAAGCCAAGCCTCGGTTTATGAGCACGCTGTGATTGCCTCTAACTGGGTTATTGTGTATGCTCTTTTTGTATAGATTTCATCTGCCCTGGAAGAAAAGCCCCAGTTCCTTTACCCCCTGCCATGGGGGTGGGAGCCCTGCTGCTGTCTCTACCTAGAGCATTCATCTTAGCAGTGTAATTAATTACCTGCCAGGGTCTCTCCCCCTTGGGCCAGGGCCAGGAACAGGAGCTGTGTTTTGGTTCCCTTTGGTATCCATAGCACTCAGCATGGAGCCTGGCACCTAGAAGAGCCTCTTAGGACAGGCTTTCTGAAAAGAAGCCTTGTTCCTAAAGTGTGGTCTGAAGAGACCCTTTCCCCTGCTGCAGATTTCTCTGGTAGAAAAGTACATTGAAGAACAGCTGCTGGAGCGGATTCCTGGGTTTAACATGGCGGCTTTCACAGCAACTTTACAGTGAGTTGAGCTTGTCTGTTTTTTACCTTCCTCCTCCTTCAGTTTTAAAAAAAAAGACCCTTTTTTCCCCCAGTACTTGAACATCAAGGCTGAGAGCACTTGGTGGCTAAGTCCTGGGTAGGAGGGCCTCAAAACCTTTGAATGAAATCTTGGAGACAGAGTCTGTTTCATCATTCGTCATGAAACAGCCATCCCATTCTTTTGCAGGCACCATAAAGATGAAGTGGCTGGTGACATATTCGACATGCTTCTCACGTTTACGGATTTTCTGGCTTTTAAAGAAATGTTTCTGGACTACAGAGCAGTAAGTCACTCTTGCCTGTTAGTTAGCCACATTGAACCACTTAGAAAGATCCGAGCAGAACTGTTGAACACAAACCACCTCCCGTGCTTCTGCCCGTTAAGACTGGCCAGTAGCAGCTAGCGGGTATCAAAAGAGTGAGCTGCTGTCCTCCAGCCTAGACCCGCGACCCACCCTTAACTGAGGAATTACATTCTGGTGTTTTGGTGAAACTGGTCCCAGGGACCACCTATAATCAAAAGGACAAAACCAAAAGGCAGGTCTGATTCTGCCTTGCCTTTCTTATAATGCAGGCTCGTACATAGGAAAAGCATTTTTCAGTGAAGGGGGGTGACCAAGGCCAGTGCTGAGCAAAAATGCAAATAACGTCCTCCCCCTGCTGTTGCTCCGTGGAGGTCCACACTCCCACCCTGAGTACCTCTTCCTTAGACTAGGGTTCTGAGCTAGAAAGGACTTTTTTCTATTCTTTGCCTCTGGAAGTTGTTTTTCCTGTGTAGGAAAAAGAAGGCCGGGGACTGGACTTAAGCAGTGGTTTAGTGGTGACTTCGTTGTGCAAATCATCCTCTGTGTCAGCTTCCCACAACAACCTGCAGCACTAGGCCCTCCTCCGGACAGTGAGCTTGTTCTGGACTGTGGCAGCCCAGGATCCTGGGAGAGCCTTCAGCTAATGATGAAACACATCTTGGAAAGACTGGCTCTGTTCTGCAATCTTCATTAACGTTAAGTATTGATGGGTCAAAAAAAAAAATTATCTGACCTTCCTGGGGCCTGTTTCCGCTGAAAAACCTTGTGTTCAGTGACCCTAGTACTGCTCCCCGAGTAGAGACCTCGCTCAGGGGCTTGAGCTGGGCTCCTCCGGAGCGAGCCCACATCCAGCATTCCACCTGGGGGCCCTTCCCCAGCATCCCTGTTGGTGTAAGCACCCGCCATCACCAGCCCTTTGTCCCAGCAGGCTTTGCATGAAATCTTTTTGTGCGCTCGAGCTTTTCACATGTGTCAAAGTTTCAGTCCTTCAGCCTCAGTGGGGTTTTTGACTGTCTGGGAATATTTATCTAAGGTGTTGCTCAAGCAGCTGCCCATCTTGAGATTTCTAGAGCTCCTATCATCACAGTTAGTCTTGTCTGTAGGAATCAACTGAGATGTCTTTTATCTAAAAGCTACAAGTGAAAACTAGTCTTATAGTTTGTAGTGCTTGTATCACTGTCTTCTGATGCAGTCCCCATTTCTAGAACTTTCTTAAGGATTTTTGAAAAAATATTTTTATAGGTGAATACTCAGGCTAACCTAGTGGATATAATCTTGGAACCTCCATGATTACCCACTTAAAGATCAAAGTATTATATGCTGTGTGCTTTTTAGTGTTAGTGCTCTAAAGCAAAATTGCTGTGTTGGCGCTCCTGTTTTACTGGGCACCAGTGAAGGTGTGCTTGAGCTGGAGGGAGACTAAAAGCTATCACTTTTCTTGTAGCATATTACGTGTTTGTGCAGGTTTGTTTCAAACCCTTTCTGTATAAATTAGTCTGTTAGGGTTTCTGTTGGGGTGAGGGCTCTGCAATTCCTTCTTCCTGTTGGTCTTTCTACCAAGACGGTGTTTTACTGGCCTAGCTCAGCAGGGATAGGAGACAGCAGACAGCTTCATGGGTCACCTGCCTGCTCTGATTTAGTGCATTGGCTTAGCACAATGTTTGATAGAACCTTACTGCCCAGAAAACGTGGATGTCACCTCTCTAGAAATAAGACATACCAGTAGTAGTTGTTCCTAGATTTTTTATTTTTTTTAAGTAAAAATAACAATCTGTACTGACTTTTCATTTGGCTATTCTGGTTTTAAAGGATGAGCTATAGATTGTTTTCTGTACTGATGTGGCGCATATTAAATACTTTTGTACCATGAGTAAAATTGGAGGTGTTTTGCAAGAACCATGCTTCTAAACGACTCATTCCCTTCCTTTACTACAGCTGCTGTCCTGCTTTAGCAGCGTTCATCTTTCAAGCGATAGGCCCTGGGCTTGCTTTCCCCTTACTCTTTTTATCAGTGGGCTGCCCGCTTCAGGCTGGTGATGTCGGAAGCACTTGGTGAAGACCTGATGTCAGTCCGCCGCCTGGCTGAGCTGAGGCAGGTGGACAAGTCCAGAGACAACGTTATGAAAAAAGGAGAAGAAAGGCAAGCGGTTCTTTTCATCCTTTACCATTCAGAGAAAGAAGCAAGCAAGCTTATTGTAGTTTAATATTAGAAGATGGTCTTTCTGATTTCTTTTCAAACAAACTAGAAATCTCTCTCCATCCACACAGGAACTTAAGTCATCATGTGCCACGTGGGCCTCAGGCCTGGCCTGAGGTGGGAAAGCCCGACATTCTGCCCCTGCCTCAGGACAGCTGCAGTCTCCTATTGTCCAGCCCTCCTCACCCAGGGGAAGCAGTATTCACCCCGACTGCGGGGGCTAAGGATTGGGGAGGCATGGGCACGAACCAAAGGTGGTGGTTTGACTAAACAAAAGAACGTCTCCACTCAAATAGGCTGTGTATTAAGGTGTCAGAAACCTATAAGACTTGCCTAGCATTTTGTTTTCTCTTACGCCTCAAAAGAAAATGGGTTTACCCTTAAAACTAAATTCTGTCATGGCTTAATCCTGGAATAACTAATTTATTATTCAAACCTGAGACACTTGAGAGTACATAGGGATGCTGTTCATATTTATACCAGAATAATAGACATAAACTGGGCCTGTCCCAGGCTAAGTTAATCCCCCATTCCTTGATAATGGAGTAGCTTATTCGCAACTTTTTGAATTAAGTTGCATTTTAATTGTTCCCAGTTTTTCAAAAAAGGACCAAGGTTGCCCAGAAAGCCTTTGGCTCATTATTCAGAGTATGTTGCTCTGTGGTTAAAAAAAAAAAAAAAAAAAAGCTCAGGAAGCACCCCTCCCCACCCCGCCGCGCTGTCTGGGCCAGCTCCATGCATCAGGCATGGCTACTCACTTTGAAGGTAGGTGACATCACTGCAATCTTAAGTTCAGCAAGATGAACCTAACTTCCCTAAAGCTAAGATGACTCAGTGATTTATTGTTAAAGTGAGGCCCTCTTGAGAATAAAAGGGGATGCTATTAAATTTATGCCAGGACAAACTGCATAAGCTGGGTCTGTCCCAGGTAAAGCAGGCAGGAAGGAGGTTGGCCTACCTCAGGTCACAGAGCAGCTGGTTGGCGGTGCTGTGTGACTTCCAGAACTGGAATTGCGCTATCATGGGCATTTGGAACCTTGGTACCGTCTTACCTTGCAGCTTTCTGGAGTTTATAAGCATCCATAACCATGTTTCCCAAACACCTTTTCCAAATAAGTTCTTCCATCTTTATTTTTGTAAAAAAACAAAACAAAGTCACCACCAAGCGTGTGACAACTCACCAGGCAAGGTCTTGATTCCCTCCCTCCTTCATGTCCCATGTGCCTAATCAACAGTGTCAGGGAGGCGGTTGGTATTGGCGTTAGCTTTTCCCAGAGGACTGTTGCAAACAAGGGCTTGGGAAAGGGAGGGGAGCCTGGACAGGTTTTCATCGTTGAGAAGTCGCTTAAAACCAATTTGCTTTCAATAACCGGCACGTATGTTTGAAATGCAGGAAAGGAAGACCGTGCTGTCAGAAATGTCTCCCTACAAGCCACATGTTGGCTTGGGGGAGGGTCACATCAGAATTGTTTTAAAGAATCAGAACAGTTTCTTGAGCTTGCTCTGCACTCCCGGAACAAAGACTAAGATATAAAGATAAATACACGTTGCTTGTTAGGCTTATTCTGTGGTGGGTCAGGGGCTGCAGGTCTGGAGTCCTTGTTAGTGTATTTAGTGCTGGTGAGAAGGCTGGGCCCAGCCTTGGACACTGAAGTCTTCTAAAGACAAAGCCCTATATCCCCCGTCACCTTCTGCTGAATAAGGGGGATGGGGAGGCAGCCTTGGGTGTTGGCCTCTTTCCAACCTATGCACGTGCCGACTTGGGCCAAACCAGAAGGGTCATGGTTCCTTAGGAATGTCAGGTGAGCCCAAGTCTGATGGTCAGAGAGGAGCAGGTGTCGTCCCTTCGGGCTGACTCCACACAGGGCTCAGGCCTCGAGCTTGCAAAGCCACGCTGCACTGTGGCCCGGCTGCAGCCTTCAGCCCCAAGGCGAGCCGTGGCACAGGTGGTTTAGGTGTAGCCACCAGCCATCTGACTGGTAGCCGCGTTGCTGCCTACTCCTCGCCAGGCCTGGAAGCTGAAATACGCGCTCAATCCATAGGCAATCATCTCTAAACACGAAAAGAACTAAAAGACAAGAGAAGATGGCAAAGCTGAGTCGCCTGCAGCATGGCATGGGGGGCAGGGTGGTGACAGTGATAAAAGTACCAGGTGGCTAGTCTCGGACAGGCAGTGACACCTGGGGCCCCTCAGTTCCCCGGGACCAGTGGCTCTGGCAGCCACAGCAACTCCTACTTAGCCAGACATTCATTTGACAACTAATTGTTGGGGGGTACCAGGTTCTCGGGGTGCTGACATTACATTCTAGTGGGGGAAACCACTGACCACACAGGCAAGGTTTGCCAGAGTGGTAAGAGCAACCGGACCGTGTGCCACTAAGTGACTGAGGGGTATGTACCAGAGATTTAGTTTTAAAAAGGCAACATGCAAAAGCTACCCTAGGAATTTTCTGCGGTCAGCTCCTATGTAGACGTCCTACGGCAGCACCTGTGGTCGCATTCAGAAGCTCCACGTCTCTGTCCCAGTGGCTGAGCTCACTGATTTCAGAACCATCCTCACCAGGAAGAGAGGAAACCCAAGTTCTGGTCTAGATCCTGCCCTCCCTGACTTAGTCTAGGGCATTACTTCTCTCCAAGCCTCAGTTTCTTTTTCTGTCAAAAGGGACTCGTGGTCCCTGCGCTCCTTGCTGGGGGAGTCAGAGCACCCTGTCAGTCTGCAGGGCCTCGTGGAGTGTGGGGGGACCGCTGTTCACTGGCCACTTCACGTGGAGCCCAAGTTTGGGCTTCATGGGAGAGCCTGTGAATCCCCAAAAATGGTCTAATGCCCTTTTCAAGGTGGCGTGTGGGGCGATAGTTTTCCCAAGGAGGCATATGACCCTAAATCAGTGCCACAACTGATTTACAGCAAGTTTCAACAGTTAACCCAAAACTTCACCACCACAAAGTATATCCCAAGCATTCTGCTTCCTCAAGGTTTTACTGTTAATTATGGGAGATGGCAAGCTCAGCTCCCCTGAGATCTGTTGACACCTAAGATGCGCACTCAGCAGGTGGCAGGTGCCTGGCCTCACACCAGGGCGCAGTGGAGTCCACAGGCACAGACCTTGGGTTAGCCAGTCCCCTGTAACTGCTGCAGACGCCCCAGGAGATCATACTCACAGAGGCAGCTGCACGCTGGTTATACGGCCGGGTGCCCTTCAGGGACGTCTGGTCCACCGCAGCAGAGCAGGTGATGAAGGCTGTGATGTAGAGAACCGTGGCGCCCGTGTTGAATATCATCAACTAGGGGGTAGGGGAGGGTAGAACAGGCTTAAGAATGAGACTTCCAGTAGCTAGGACCACCTGGTTCCCACTGGCACACCCCTTAGTAGCCACCATGGGCTGGGGCTTGAGGATCGGTCTCTCCCACCCAAGGGCATCAGGACAGCAGTGAGCACGTGCTCTGCCCAGAGGCCATCTGAGCAGGGAGCATAAACACACCCAAGGCTGAGGGGAGAGATAACGGGAAGGGCCACAGGGAGCCGGTCAGGGCAGACAGTCCTAGCAGGTCAAACCCATTCCCCACGGGCAAGGTCAAACCCCGCCTGCCTGAGCGCACCAGCTAAAGAACTCCGGGCCATTCCTCCACGCTGCTCGGGGCCAAGCCTGGGCTCCCCGATGCCTCTGCAGGCCTTGGCTCTGGGGCCGGCCCTAGGAAGGAACCCCATGTCTCATAGCCCTCTGCCCGCCCCCAGGCCGGAGGAATCTGTCTGCCTTTTGGCCACACCCTGGGCTCAAGGCCCCACATCAAATGCCAGGGTCAGAACCCAGCAGGACCCTGAGCCAGACTGGCACAAAGGGCCCTCAGCTGACAACCAGGCCTGGGTGCCATTTCCCCAACACGTGGCCCCTGGAGCCAGTTAACAGCAGAGACTACAAACTGGTGGCTCTCAGACATGTTTGGTTCATCCCATAGACTATTTTTGAAATTACCAATATTCTAACATTTCATATGAAAACCTGAAGATTTAATTAAAAGAACTTTTAAAATACCAGATTTGGGACCAAGGGGCCTGCTTGCCCACCACTCAGCTGGAGCTGAGCAGAGGCGGCTTTCTATGGGCAGATGGGTGCTGGGCTCTCCAGAAACCCCTCTTCCCACGTCACGTATCTTGCCTGCTCTGTAGGGAGCTGGTAGCCCCCATCCCAGAGAAACCACAACTTGGCAATCCCAATCCAGCCACCTCTAGATGCCCGCAAGGCCGCCCTGCCCTCTCTGTTAAAAGGCCAGGGAATGTGGGACACCGCCCCGCCGTCACAGCCTGGGAAAGGAGCCACCTGCCATCAACAGCTGGGGCTGAAGCCCCAAATCTGTGCTGAGGGACACCTAGGCGCCTCCATCTCCACAGACAGGGAGCAGGGGCTGGGCCCTGGCCAGGAAGTCAGGCCACCCCCTCCTCGCCAAGCCCCTCCAAGCCCAACACCCGCTGCAAACACCGCCTGGCTCCTGCCAGTGATGTCAAGATCTAACAAACCCGTTCTGTCTCAAGGATGACTCACGTTTCCTCAGTTTAAAAAGTCATTGAATTCCAAACAATGCTGCCTAGTCCCAGCCTTGCTTGTCTTACAATCATGTGCCTCTCTCTCCTCTCTGCTCACTCAAAGCCTCAGACCCAGCTGCAGGGGTTTTCCGGGTCAGAGAAGAAAAAAAAACCAGCACTTTCTGTGTCTGGACGGATGATTTCCTATGGACGCTCTACACCCTGTGTCCTAAGAAGACTGACCTGGGCAAACCTGGGACACCACCCTCTCCCGGGCTGCAGGGGCCTCGCCCTGGAGGCAGCAGGTGGACGGTCTGCTGCGGCCGAGTCCATCCTGCACACACCAGGCCCAGCCTGGGTAATTTCTGCCAGCCCAGCCCAGTCCCCAGGCCTAGGGCTGCCTACCTGGGTTCAGCCATAGTCAGAGACCCTCTGTACACATCCCCAAAAAGGAAAAGTATTTTCAAGACTCCAAATAGCCTCTGGTCTCTCCATCCAACAGCCCCTCACTTCTACTCCCTTCCCCGGAGAAAGGCAAGCCCGTGTCCTTCCCGGCTCACGGCTCATTGCTCAGCAATACTGGACACCCAAGCCATCAGTCCTCCCTCCCCTGCCCAGCTCTGCAGGCCAGCTGAGGTCCAGCCAGGACTGCAGCCAACCTCCACCCCGCCCCTTCTCATTTAGGGAAGGTCACACGGTCACAGCTACTCCCAGAAACAGTGCTCAACCTGGAACCACCCCCAGTGCCCCCACCCAGACTCACCAACAGCGGCCAGGGTAGCATGTACAACTTCATGTACAGCTGAAACAGGTAGAGGATGAAGAAGACGATTGTCACCAGCCAGAGGACGACAGCGACGAACATCACCCAGCCGTAGGCCGGATACAGGTGGTATGGGGTGTCGGCAATCAGGGCCCACACCAGCAGTCCCAGCGCCTGGAGGGGCGAGACGGCGCCAGAGTCTCCCAGGGCTCCCGGCACTCAGGCTGGAGCCCCAGACCAGACGCCTCGGGGCCTTTGCCATCGAGCTCCCTTGGAAGGACACATTGCCCTAGTCAAGAAATACTTACCTGGCTCCTCCTGCGGACCACTGTATACGAAACCCTGGCCCGGTAACTTAACTCGCCTTTCAGGTCTCAGCTGAAACGTTACCTGCTCTAGGGCACCCTCCCCACTCCTCCAGTCTGGGTTCCAGAAGCCTCTTCTGTGCTCATATGGCCCCCAGGCACCCACCCCCCAGGAGGGAATTCGCTTTTCTTCCCCAGACTGTGAGTTCCCTGAGGGCAGGACAACTGTCTCACTCATAGCTGGGTCCCAGCACCCAGGACAGGACTTGGGACCCGCCAGAGACTTAGTAAAAGTTGCTGATGGAAAGATGAAGTCACGAGCACATCCCTGAGGGATGGACAGTCAGACTCCCAGAGGTGGGAAAACAAACAGCCTGTGTCCTCCGGGTGACCTCCCCCTGGTGCCCCACCAAGCCCTCTCCACCCCATCTCTGATGTTACCATCCCCCGCCTTACAGGTGAAACGGCTTCAGAGAAGCCAAACTCTGTCACCTGTTCCCACGTGGCAGGATGGGCCCTAACATTCTGGCAGACAAGTGTGTGTGGGTAAATTTGCAGCCTCTCTGTGTTTTGATCATCTCATCTGTCAAATGAGTATAATGACCATACCTACCTCACAGGGCCGCCTTAAGGACCCAGGAGTTACACTGTACGTGAGTGTGACACAAGTGTTTGCTTTTATTAGTCCCAGCTGGGTATGCTGGGTCCACCCCAGCCCTCTGGGCCACAGGGCAGGGTGGGCCCAGCACAGGGTCTGCCCTGAGGCAGGGAGCTCAGGGGCGCCCACAAGCGGCACCTCACATCCTGGCCTCCCCACCTGTCCTACCTGCGTCTCTGCTGGCCTAGGTCCCCCAGGCTAGGACATCCTCCCTTCTCCACAGGGGCATTCTCGGGAGTCCTGGTCAGCTAGGCATGGCTCAGGTGTGGCCACCAAGGAGAAGGAGGGCCTATCGCGGGGCTTTGGAGAAAGGCCCCATTGTTGATGAAGACACAGAAAGAGCCTCTTCTTTACTTAGCATCCAGGCACGTGGCACCAAGGCTCACAGTGACCCTGCCACCAGCCCAAGATGAGCCAACCATCAGATCACAGCGAAGCAGTTCAGGAGCGAGACCCACCTCTGACTGCTGGTTTTTGGGGACAAAAAGTCCCCCTGGTCGCTCACACCAGTTGCTGCCACGAGCCTCTGGACCGGACATTGGAGAGCTGGCACTCACTCAGGGCTTGTGACCCAGAGTACAGCCAGAGCCGGGTGCCTGCCAGACACGCCACCAAAGCACTCCACCAAGACCAGAAAGATAAGTTTCTCTTATCGCTACCCCTACCTGTGGGGTCAGAACAAGAAAGACGCAGAGTGGCCCGAGAATCCAGCAGCCCCTCTGACGACCTCCCTTTCTCCTCTTCCTGCCCCTCCCCCACAAGAGGCTGTGGAAAGTGGCTTCTCTTCCCACTGCACCACTGGGAAGGAGGGGTGGGTGAGTGGGTGGAGGCCTGGGCCTGGATGTCAAGCGCTGGGTCTCAATCCTGCCTGTGCTGTGTGATGCTGGGCAAGCACCTTCCCCTCTCCGTGTGGCTCACCTGAGCAGCTCTAACAAGGTCCGCCCACTAGAATGCAGGCCCCATGAGGAATCCTGTTTTGTTCATTGCTGTATCTCCAATGCTCGGCAGTGCTTAGCACATAATATCTGCTCAATAAATACGTGCTCAGGAGCTATCAGGCCTGTTTCCTTATCTATGAACTACGGGTCGGAAACCCACCCCACACAGGTGCTGTGTAGTAAGAAGGAAGCAGGTGTGAGTCAGTGAATCTACTCCTCCAACCACCACAAACAGGCTGGCGGTGGCCCACGGGGCCCACTCTGCAAGCAAAGAAGGTGGGCCAGGTAGCAGAGCCTTGCCAGCAGTCATACAAGCTGGGGACAGAGCCCTTATCAATGAGGACCCAGAGCCAGGGTGTCTCGGCAACAGGCCACCCCACACACCTTTTACCATCCATCCTTAGGACACCCTGCCTGAAACAGACACCTCAGGGGGACAGGCGTCTCCAGAGCTGGGTGAGGTCACTGTTCTGAACGCTCCCAGGTGAGAACTGGGCATGTCAGGGACAATCGATTCTCTTTTCACTTAAAGCAGGGTCCTTTCAAGCCTCCATGCACTGTGTTGCCCGATTCCAATTCTCTGAAAGGAAGTTAGAAAATGCAGCAAACTAAAAATCAGGAAAAGACCAATAGGTGTATATTAGGTGTAGACCAGGTTTACACTAATATACACATATCAGTTATCGCTATTGTTCCTCACAGACTTGGTAGCAACAACCACTGAATGCCCCCCAGCTGTGCCAGGCCTCAGGGAAGCACCCCCCCGACATAACCCCGCTTTGACGTCACTGATTCGCCCATAACCCTCTAATCACTCGGTACTATTTATTTTCTCCATTTTCCAAACAGAAGCTCAGAGGGAAATGTGCCCGTGGTCACTCATGTCACCTGTGGCTAAAGAGCAGGGCGGGATTTGAACCCAGATCGGTCCTCTTGAACCCGGGCCGCTGAGAGTTCCTTAGCAATGTGTACAAAATCAGGACACTTCAGCTGGCTCCGGGGGCCAGGCCCGGCTGGCACCACCGCTCGCCCCTCTTCCCTGCCCTCCAGCCCAGCCCCAGTTTCCAGATGAGCAACAGCAGCCTGTGGGAGATGGAGCTGCTGGATAAGCAGCGGGAATTTCGAGTGTTCCCGGCCCTGCAGCCCTGGCCTTGTGCCCAGGGAGCCGCCTCGGTTTCTGCCCTAGAACAAGGAAGGCCCATTCCTCCACCTGAACCAGACTGACGGGTTCCTCCCCTCCCGCCGTCTCCTCTCTCCTGGCCCCAAGATTCTAAGGGAGCACCCTCCGCAGGGCCCCACGGAGACCCTGCTCAGGACAGAGCACCCCCACATTTGCCCCCTCTGCTGGCCCCCACCTTCCTGCTATGGACCACACTCCAGCGGGGAGAAGGAAGTAGAGCACTTGTCTTACGGTCCAGGACAGAACAGTAAACCCCACTGTTTAGAGGAAGGGGGACGGCGGGAGGTAGGTGAGCAGAGAACAAGGGGGGACCCGACTGCCAGTGGCCTCCAGGGCTGTGCCCAGGCCCCTCTGCCCAGGGATAGTCTCTGGCAACTCCAACGCCCTCTCTCTGGGTTCATTCACTCAACAAATACCTGCTGAGCACCCACTGCTGTGTGACTGAAACAGACAAAAAGCCCTGCTCTCATGGAGCTCCTGGTAAGAACAGCTAAGAACCCAAGACCTGAAAGTCAAGTGGATTGCAGGGTCAGTCCTATGGGGGGAGAAAAATTCCAGCTGAGAGGGGATAAAGAGGGCAGTGGGGTCACTTCCAATTTTAGATAAGAGGTGAAGAAAGATCTCACTGCGAAGGTGACATGTGAGCAAGGCTGAGGAGGGTGGGGGAGGTGAGGGAGGGAGCCGTGTGGGCAAGAGCAGAATTCTGTGCCTTGACATTGGGACCCTGTTTTTGTTCTACATGTTCATCTGTCCCCGTGCGTCTCTGTAGGCGTCTACACATACATCTGCGTGTCTTAAAGACACATATACACACACACAGAAAAAACCAAACCTTGCTACCTCACTTCTAACCTCTCTGAGGCCCCTGCAAAGCCTCCTCAATCAAGCACTACAGATAACCCAAGACAACTAGAAATCTCGAAGGTGCAGGCCCTTAAGAATAACTAAACTGGGTAACAGATGTTTTTGTTAAAAATCACCTGCAGGACCAGAGAGGAGAGAGATTTTTCACAAATGCCAGACCAAGAGGCATTCCTCGATTAGGGTGGGCCCTAATCTAGTGACCGATGTCCTTCTAAGAGGGGAAACTGGACACAGACACACACACAGGAAGAACGTCATGTAAAGACGGAGGCAGAGATTGGAGTGAGGTGTCTCCAAACCAAGGAACACGGAGGATTGCTGACAACCCCCAGAAGCTGGGAGAGGGGCATGGAGCAGATCTCTCACAGAGAGGCCTCCAGGAGGAACCAACCTTGCCAACACCTTGATTTTGGACTTCTGGCCTCCAGAACTGCGAGACAATAAATTTCTGTTGTTTTAAGCCACCCAGTTTGTGGTACTTTGTTGTCGCCGCCCTAGGAAATGAACACATCTTTCTTAGCTGCTCTTTGAATCTGCAGGTAGATGTCATGATCTGGTTTAACTGTGTGATGCTGGAATCAGTTCTGGCTTCAAGCTCGGGCCCTGCCAACTTACTAGCTGCATGACTTCGGGCAAGTTGCTGAACCTCTCTGTGCCTCAGTGTCCTCATCGTCAAAGTGTGCCTACCTCACAGGATAGCTCTGAGATATAAATGAAGAAATATATAGATAGATAGATAAAAGCTACTTAGACCAGCACCCAACATGGACTTACTACTCAATGCATCATCCAGTCCATTCTCTGTGCCTGGTTTCCTCAGGTCCTAATAGCATGGGCAGTCCTAGGGGTGTGAGGCCCGGGTGAGATCATGAATCTATCTACACTTAAGCACCAGGCACAGTAACTGGCAGATAAGGGCCCTGTGCCAGCGTAAACCCTACCCATCCTTCAGATAAGGCAGATGAGCTTATCTGAAGGGGGAGGCCCCAGAAGTCCACCCAGCCCAGCCCTAGGACGTCTCCTGCAGCTGCACTTCCGTTCCTCACAGGCTGAGGGTCCCTGAACAGAACCTCTACCCCTCACTTGGACCTCAGTTTTCCACTCTGTACAGTGAAAGCAGGGAGATCACACTCAGTGTTCTCCAAGGCTCCCCGCAGTCTGAGGCCCAACACTCCTCAACACAGGCCTCTTCCAGGGGACCCAAAGCCCTTTCTCCCTTGTTGGGGGAAGACTCCACCAACCCCATGAGCACTAAGCTAACTCGTCTCCCATCCACAGACGGTCACCCAAGTCTCCTTTCAATCCTTCCCAATTCCTGGGTCAGACCCTTGTAGATCCGCTGTGTGATGTTGGGCGAGTCACTTAACTTTTCTGGTCCATTTCTTCATCTGTTGAGGAGGTTGGGGAGGGTACGCATATCCTGATCATCTCACAGGTATGTCGAGCAGGTAAAATGGTGTGAAGGAAAAGTTAAAAGCTGTTGCAATCGTGAGTGGCCATGAGGGCTGTTAGACAGCCGGGATGTTGGGGGCAGTAATCCCCAAAAGGAGGAGGACTCAGAGCCTGGAGGCTGACACTGGTGTTTTGAACTCAGCAGCCACCAGGCAGGCAGGTCACAGAAATGACTAAGATGGACCAGGTGGAGTCTGTGGAGCTGAGCGTGACCTACTAGTATCTGGGAGAACGCAGGCCTGAGGCAGCCAGGACTTCTCACTTTTCTAGAGACACCAGAAATCTGAATTTCTATGTAAAGTCTTCAGCTTTTTAAACATTGAAAACAAAACCAAATGTTTTAGAAAAAAATGCGAGGGCAGGGCCCACCCATCACACCCAGAATTCCCGTTTTCCCCACCGCACCACCTGGCAAACTGAGGCCCAGGCCAATGCTGTGAACCCTTCCCAGGGTTCCCCCCTCGCAGGGACACATCTGGGCAGTTGAGGACACTAAGAACTTGGCCTGGCCGGACCCAGCCTCCACCCCCGCCCTGGCCCTTCTCCCTACAGTGAAAGGGACTTTATGGGGACAAAAAGCCACCTATTGTGTCAAAGGAGACAAAGGCGCAGGGGACAGAGGCTCCAGGCGCCTGGGCTGGCCACAGCTCCACATACCGTCCCCTCCCTGTGCAGAGGGTCAGGCTTGGGGGGAAGGCTTCTTGGAATTCCCACACTGCACACACTGAGCATTCCAGAATCCTGGGGGCATCACACCAGCTCCACAGGAGGCGCCACAGCAGATTGAGAACCCTGCCAGAGCTGACTGCCGGGACTGGGGTGGCATCCGGCTCCTCAAAGCCTCGCTTTCCTTATCTGAAAAGTGGGCGTGTGAGTTACCAAATCAAATCAAGTCCTTCAGTCATTGAACAAACTCTCCCGAGGGCCATTCTGTGCCAGGCACAGCACGGGGCTGAGCAGCCAGGGTCCCTGTCGCATGCAGCTCCCAGCCCAGGCTGTCCCAGGGAGGAGGATGACCACGGGTCACCTCCAGGGCTTTCCAAAGGCGGCCTATATCACGGTACCTGTTATTCCTGATTCCCAAGAACTGAAGTTTTTTATTTTTAATTGCAGAGATGGAAGAGGTTCCTGCACACCTAACCAGTGGCCCAGCCATCCCCAGAGACCCCTAACAAGGAGCTCCAGCAGAGCCCAGCGTCTGCGTGCACTCTGCATGTCAAGGAGCCCACTGCCACCACTGTTCCTTTGTGGTCCGCCTCAGGGTTTTAGAAAAATCTTCCCAACACAAAGCTCAAACCATCTCATGTTTACCGGCCTACCTGGGTTCCCACTCAGCACTCAGGGGGGGCTAGAGACCAAGCAGGTCACCCCTCCCAAGATGGCCCCCAGATGTGTGAAGGCAGGCGGGGGCCCCATGAGACACATCCCCAAGTCCTTCCCTGGCACCCAGGGCAAGTGGCGACACTCTTCCGTGAGGTTCCAAAACTTTAGACCTCGCCTGTCTGCCTGCCTGCCTCTCCCACTGCCTCAGGGGTCTCCTGGCCCACCACAGAAAGCCTACCTGTGCCTAAGTCCCCTACAGCCACTCAGAGCCCTCCCAGGAAGGCCTTGGCCCCCTCA